TGCACAGGAAACTGAGGCTGGGCTTCAAGGGGCTGACCCAAAGGGGTTATAGGCGTCCCAAGCCTTGCCCTTCCCCTCAGAGCTCTCACCCTTTGGCGCTGCCTAGGCTGAAATCCCAGTGGCAGCCATGCTTATCTGGTGATTTCAGGCAACAGTCCAGTCTCAGTGGCCTCATCTGTGAGATGGGAGAACATTATCACCTCCAGGAGACAAGGGAGAGTCCCCTGGCCCGGCTCAGTCACCAGACAAACACGGGCTCTGTTACTGACCAGGACCCCAGGTCAAGGGCTGGCTCCTGGGCATGTCTGCACCCCCTCAGGAACCACGGAGCTGGGGCCCGAGAATGAACCTTCCCGATGAGCTCCTCTTCTTCCAGAGGGAGATTCTAGCCCAGCTGATGCCTGCTAGAAGAGCAGCCCCGCTGGGCAGCAGGGAGCAGAGAGCCCAGCTGCCAGTGCCTCCCAGCCCCAGCCTCAAGTTCGCACATCATAGTCCCTTGTGGGGAACTTCCAGGGCTCAGGCTTCCCTGAGGGCTCTGGGAGAGCGAGGGCTGAGCACCGGGCACACGGACAGCCTCATCTGAGAGGGGCCCTGTGGCACCACAGCCTGGCCCAGCCCCCACCTGCCTGCTGCCAGCCCGCCATGGCCTGCCCTGGCATGGCTCCTGGGGGGGGGCGCAGTGCCAGCCCCTGAGCTCTAGCACCCCTCCCCCCACCATGTCCTTTGGCTTCTTCCAAAATAACTCACTGCCCGAGTTTGGCGTCTCGGGTGTTTTTCTTCTCCTAAGACCTGCTCTCCCATGTCTGAAGGGCAGGAGGCGGGACCCCTTAACCCGGCTAACAGAAACTTGTCATTGCCAATGGGGTAAGGGTAGCCAGAAGCACTTCCCTGCCCCTACTCTGCCTACCTGCACAAGGTGCGCAAAGCCCCAGCAGGACGCTCTGGGCAGCCCTCTCTGTTGTGGGCACCGGCTGTGCGGAAAGCAAACAGCCGCGCATCGGGGACCGTCAGGGTGGAAGGCCACGGACGGGTGGCGCGGGGCGGGCAGGGGGCCAGCGGCGCCCGGAGCCAGGCTTTCTTCTCTGCCGCCAGCCCCACCCGGCCGCGCCCCTGCCCGCTGCTGCCAGAGCCCAGAGGTTTCCTTTTTCTCGTGCCTGGGGTTGCTTCCTGCCTTTCCTTTGAACTGGGGTGTTGGCTCCCACACACACTCACCCTCCTCTGTGGACCCCCCGGGCCGTCCTCGCCCATCCTCCTTGTGGTCCCAGGAGCCTGCCCCTCCCCCTGGCTCAGCTTTGGAGGAAGGCAGGCATGGAAGGGCTGCAATCCTTCTAGCCACCCTCACCCTCTCTCTGCCCTGGCCTGGGTGCCATAGCTCCCACTGCCCACCTTCCTTAGAGCCGCTGCTAGGTGGAAGGTCCAGTAGGGCAGTTCCTAGCTACCAGGGACTGGGGGGAGGGGAGGTAGGCCTTGGCAAGCCTGAGTACCCAGCACAGCTGGCAAGCTCTTAGGCTACCAGGAGGAAAGACTGAGGCTGGGTCAGACAGGCAGACTTGGGGGTGAGGCATGGCGTGTAGAACACACAAACACACACACTCACCTCTCCCCAACACACACTCCTCCAAGTTCATGAACACATGCACGCTTCCTTGAAACACACACCTTCCCCTGTATACACACACACACCTTCCCCAAACACACCTACCTCTCCAAATACACACATAGGCATGCACACACACTCTCCCCAAGGTCGGCTCTCCATCCACACCCAGCCACACATTTCCTTACTTCCTAGGCTGGCAAACCTGCAGAGCCCTGTTGGGGCACAGACAGGGGTCTCTGGCCAACTGCCCTCCTGTCTGTTCTGGGGAGGCTCTAGTCTCTCTCTCTCTCTCTCTCTCTCTCTCTCTCACACACACACACACACACACACACACACACACACACACAACCCGAACTTTCCAGCCAGCCCCGTGTCATCTCTGGCAGTTCCAAAGGCGGCAAAATCCCAGGGAGGCGGCAACCAGTCTGGGACAGAGGCTGCCGGGAGGGATGGCCCTGCTTCACCCTGGAGGTAGGAATGGGGTTTGGGGGTACACACCAGGGTGAGCCCCTCAAGTCTGCTGCCACCAAGCTGCCCTCCTCCATCCACCTGCTTCACCAGGTTGCTCAGCTTCAGAGACGAAATGAGGGGCTCAGAGGGGCTGCCCACACACCCCCATCTGAAGCCCTGGAGACCCAGCTGGCCAACCATGTGCTATGTATGAGTGCCTGTATCCTCCAGCTGGACAGAAGCCTATGGGTCGCCACTTGACGGGCTTGCCTGAGGTCCTGGGGGCTCCATCTCCACTTGGACGCACCCCAGAGCAAGGCAGACCCTGCCCAGGGAGGAGTCCCCCCTAGTGGATCTCAAGGAGCCTTGTGGAGGCAAGAATTTGGGGGAGACTTTGTACAAGGAGAGACACGGAGGCTTGGGAAGAGCTGGGGCTGGCTCAGCCAGCCTCCACCCAACAGGGCTACCAAGAGGCCCTCAAAATCACAGGTACCACTTGTATAAGAAGACTTTGTGGGGCCCGGCGCGGTGGCGCAAGTGGTTAAGTCCTCGCCTTGCACGCCCGGGATCCCATATGGGCGCTGGTTCTAATCCCGGCAGCCCCGCTTCCCTTCCAGCTCCCTGCCTGTGGCCTGGGAAAGCAGTCGAGGACGGCCCAAAGCTTTGGGAACCTGCACCCACATGGGAGACCCGGAAGAGGCTCCTGGCTTCGGATCGGCATAGTATCGGCCCGTTGTGCTCACTTGGGGAGTGAATCATCGGACGGAAGATCTTCCTCTCTGTCTCTCCTCTCTGTATATCCGCCTTTCCAATGAAAAAAAATAATAAAAATAAATCTAAAAAAAAAAAAAGAAGACTTTGTGCTCCCCCAGAGCTAAGATGCGAGGCGGGACACAGGTGGCTACCTAGAGAAGGGTGTTGGCCAGGGTGGGGAGTAGAAAGGCTAAGTGTGGGGCCCCAGAGGTGTCTCCTGCAGCCCTTGCTGCCTCCGTGGCTCTGTCCAGCAATCTTCTAGAACTCTCTGACCTGCTGCTTCCTGCCCATCTTTCACACTTGTTGCTTTGTTTCCTGGCCCAGGGCACTTCCTCCCCCATCCTCAAGGTCACCCCATGGCTAGACTCCCAGAACCATCAGAGCACTGAGCAAGGGAAACGCAGCCCTCTCCACAGACCCTAGGATACACCCCTCTTTCCCACCGCAAACCACTCCTTGAATCCTGCCCTCACCTCTGGACTGTCTCCCTCCAGAATGAGGGGCCTGCTGGCTCCCCCCAAGTCCTACTGAGAACCCCCAGGAGAGAGAGGTCACCCCCCCATGTGTCACCCCCTTGAGTGTCAAGTGCCATCTGGTGTGCTTCAAATTCTCTACATCCTCCTGGGGCTTCCTGCCTTCTTTTTGTGCATGCATAAGGACCCAGAGGCGAAGGATCCAGCACCGCTTTTCCCCTCCGCCCTCAGAAGCCCACCCCACGCCCTGGGGAGAGGGGCTTTCTCAACCCACCAGGGGAGACTCTGGACCAGCTGGGAGAAGCCCACTTTTAACAATGAACCAGGTGCAGACCTCAGAGCTCTAGGAAGGGTGTGGGCAGGAAAGAACCCTGGGATGAGACCATGGGAAAGAATCTTCAATCATAAGTTAGCTGGATACTTGGACCCTGAAAGTAGCCCTGTACCCCAAAAAGGAGCATTGTGGATCAGACTGCAAGGCTGGGGCAAAAGGTTGAACTTGGACCCTGCGGAAGGCCTTGCAGTCCCAGTCTCTTTATCCCAGGTCTGGAACCCTTCTGCACCCCATCCACTCCTGTGGAAGGCTGGACAGAAGACACCACCTTGAACCTCCAGGGTCCCAAGCAGCCATGGACAGGGCCAGCGCCGGCTCCACACCCCCACCCCACTTCCCATGCCTGCCTCTGCTGGTAAGGGAGTAAGGGGGGTGGGCAGCCCTACTGGGACACACGTCACTCCTCCCTCTCCTCCTGGCCCACAGCCTATGTCTTCTTAATGGGGAAGGGGACTAGCCACCTGGGAGCAGAGACAGGGACATTGCCAGCACCGCCAAGCACCCTGGTCCCATTTGGTTCAACCCTCTGGCTGCCTCTTCCCTGTGAGCTGTCCCCTGGGCAACTGTCCCCAGACCTGCTCACCTGCTCTGCCTCCGGTGACAAAAGGCAGGGGCACCTGGACAGGGTGGGGCTGGAGCAGCTCCTGGCCTCTGGAGCAGGCGCAGGGGTGAGGTAGGAGTAGGTGGTCTGGTATGTCTCACCTCCCCCTCCTGCCCACGGGCTGAGCTGCTGGGAGCCCCCACCAGGAAGCTCCCCGCTTCCCCACCCTAGGGACAGATCCTCTGAGCTGTGCCCAGGACAAGCAGTCCCACTGTGGTCCCATTCACTGGCCATCTCACCCCAAACTAGACTCTAAAAATGTTCTCTGGTTTGCAGCCCTGACTACTACCTGCAAATTAGCCTCTCCAATACTGCCTCCCTTCGGGAGGTCCCTGGGACACGGGAGACCCCTCCCTCCCGCCCCAGGGCATTGGCGGCCACTGACCAGGGATGGGGCAGGGCTGGTTCCCAGCTCCTGGAGGACACACCCATCACCTCTCCCTACTGCCCCCTGCAACGCCGCTGGGGCCAGGCCGGTCCGTCCTGGGCACTGTTCCCTAATTGAGGTGGCAGCAAAGGAGGCAGCCGACGAAGTCCCTCCTGCTTCTGGCCGGGAACCCACCGTGCCCAGGCTGCGCTGGCTCCCACAGGGAACCCCCAGGCAAGGAGAGGAAGCCCAGCTCCCTAGTGTCTCCGCCTTCAACCTCAGACTCCGCGGTCCCCAGTCCCGTAGTCTCAGCTTGGGAAAAGAGAGACCCCTTCCTGGGGTGCCCATTTCCCGAGTGGGGAAGTAGGGTGGGGGACGCACCCAGGCAGGTGCGCCAGGCTGCGGCAGGCGCAGGTACTCACAGATAGGCGGTCAGTGGGTCGAGGTCCCCCGGCACAGCGCACAACCCGAGCTCGGAGCAGTCAGCGGACAGCATAATGCCGTCCTCCTGGCAGTGGCAGGGGGCCGGGCAGGCGGCGGGCCCCGGGCCGGGCTGCGGGGTGCCAGTGGCGCACGGCGAGGCGCACAGCGCGGCGCACAGCCAGAGCGCGCGGAGCCCCGCGGGGCTGGGCATCTCGGCGGCGGGCTGCGGGCACCTGGCGGGCGCTCGAGCGCTGAGGGCCGCCCGCAGCCGGGGCAGGCGGGCGGCGCCGTCGGAGGGGCGGGCCCCGCGGGCTCGGCTCGGCCTGGGCGACAGCGGCGGGAGCGCAGGGACGGCGCCCTCAGCGAGGGGCAAGCATTGTTGAGTGATCTTCGTGATTTGGTTTCACGGGCTGGGCTTGGCAAGGGAGGGAGACCGGCGGAGGAGGAGCTAAGGAAAGTCTGTGCGCCGCTGCTCGCTCCGCTTCCCTCCTTCCTTCCCAGCTGGCAGGAATTTCCTCGAGGAAGGGGGAAAGAAAGGAAGAGAGCAAAGAAGCCCCTAGTTGCGCAGCCCGCAGGGGGACCTGCGCTTATGGGAAGAACGCCCCCCAGGCCGGGACCGCTGGGGGTCAGGGCACGCCTGCCTTTGGGACAGCCACGGTGCCACGTGGGACCCACAGGAGCATCCCTACCTCCCGCCCTGCGCCAGGAGACCCCAGAGTCCCCAGACCTCCCTAATCTCCACCTTCACTTCCCACGGAAAAAGGCAGATCCAAGGACAGGAAAAGCCCCAGAACGGGAACTCAGGATGGCCCTGCTCACCCTGCCTCCCGGGAGATGGCAGAGGGACTGAGGGGTAGACCTGAGGGGTCAGGCTCTCACGGGTCCCGCTGCAGGCTGGAGCTGGGGCAGGGCAGTGAGGGGGCGCCCTCCTCCCCCCTGAGGGATTATTCCGGGCAGGGTCGCTGGCGTGGGCCTCCCACCCGCCGTGCACTCCTGCATATGCTCACGCAGCTCACGCAGGTGTAAGTCCTGCGGATCCCCCTGTCTAGCCGGGGACCCAGCGAGCCTGTCTGTCCAGCCGGCTGTCACAGCTTGCCCGACAGTCAGTGAGGTAGCGCCACCTGGAGGCTGTGTTCTGCAACTGCAACTTAGCCACCCTGAGGCTGGGCGAGCCCCCTGAACAGGGAGGGGTCCTGTGGGTTACCCAGTGCAGGTGTAGTCCCGGCTCTCTCCTTAGACCTCACTGGACTTCTTTCCTGCAGCCTCGCTCCTCCACAGCCCCACGAGCGCCCCAGGGTCCCTCTGCAAGGTGCCTGGGCTGGGGATAAACCCCACGGAGCCCAGGGTGGCCACAGCAGATGGCCCTTGTGACCAAGGCCAGGCCCCTGAACTCCTGGCGGACACAGGGTGAAGGGGCTAGCAACACTCAACGCCCCCACCCCGGGGGCAGCCCCAGAGCCTCCACAGAACCCCAGTGAGGTTCATGATTGGACAGAAAGGCTGGCCTTCAGCCAGGCCCGAACAGACCCTCGCCTGGCCACTGAGGGCTCTAACGCCATCTCAGGGCTCCTGCTCGAACTTGCCCAGGCTGTCTCCGCACCCTCCCAGCACCCCAGCACCTCACTGTCAGACCTACAGGGCTGACCAGGGCTGCAGGTGGAACCTGGGCCAGGAACTCACACGATGACAGTCCCAGGCCTCCTACCCTCTGGTCTCTCCTCCTGCCCGTCTCCACTTCCCCTCTCTGAGTTCTCACCCGCCTCCCTCAGATGTGGAGAAGAGGATGGAGGGGTGAGTGTAGGCACGGGAAACCAAGGAACTTCACCTGCGCTGCCTCCCACTGCGCTGCCTCCCACCGCGCCCCCACCCCCGAATCTCTAGGTGACCGTCCTTCTGCCCCAGCAGGGAGTCCCTGGGGATTCCAGGGCTGGCAGAAGAGGGGGTGGGAGCAGGGCACATCCTACTGTCTGCGGGAGCAGTGGGTGGGACGCTGAGTTTAGGTGGACACTGGAGGTAAGGGCTGACATCCAGGGAGACTGAGGGTCTGGAGTGTGAGCAGGAAGCACCTGCTTGGAGGCTGTGGGCCAACCCCTACCCCTGCCCCTCCTGGCTCCCCTTTGCCACAAGGCCTTGGTGTGGGTCTCGTAGTGGACAGATAAATGAAATACACACTCAGCCTCAGCTTGCCCACACGTCTTTATTCCCCATCTCTGCTCCAGGACCAGAAGCCGTGGCTGTCCCCAGCTGGAACTGACCATCCAAGCCTGGCAGCACCCACTCAAGGCAGCCCATGCACCAGTGCATTGTCCAGACACCTGTAGAGCTCAATGTACTGCTCCTGGGGGACAGACAGACCCAGCAGCTTCACCCCCTCACCCCCCACCCGACTCCACAGCACCCCCTGGCAGATGCCTGCAGTGAGGCACACACCCTCCCCACAGCCACAGGCCTCCCCACCACTCACCAGTGTTGGGGTCATGAGGCCACAGGCCTGGGACTGCTGCAGAGCCACGCTGAAGACGTCCACCGTGCACTCAGCCACTGCCTGCTGCAGCAGCTGCTCTACCGCCAGGAAGGTGCCCAGCTGTGTGGTGCCTCGGCTGCAATGGACCTAGAGTTGGACAGGGCACCTGGACAGTAGGGAGCACCGTGGTGGTATCCAGGGACCCAGGGAAACCCAGCCCTGAATCCATGAGGCTGGAAGGGCCCTTGGAATACGGTCAGGCAGCCAGCCTGCCCACATACCTCTGAGGACAGGGCAGGGATGGAAGAGACAACCCACAACCCAGACAGGGTCCCACAGCACCTGGAGTAGCTGAGCAGTGTGCCGGGCTTCTCGCTGTGACGCTGGGAGCAGCACTGGCCCACAGCAGCCAGGAAGGGCAACAAGCTGCTCATGGGCAGCTCCTGCCCGGGCTCCCAGCTCGGAAACTGCAGCTGCTGCACCTGCCGCTCCTTCCCGCTCTCCCCCTGGGATATGGCACATACCATCCGTGCCGCTGCCAGTATAGGACCCGTTCATCGCCCACACAGCCCCGTGGCCCCCAACACCTACGTGGGTGACCTTGAAGAGGGTGCAGGGCCAGCCTGCCGCGCTGCTCTCCGCCACCCAGTGCACTGTCACCATGTCCGTGATGACAGGCTGTGTCTCTGATGGCCACAGACCCTGTGGCTGGGAAGGAAGTGGAGCAGCTCTGGTGGCTGCCAGAGGTCACCCCCGCCCTGTCACCACCACATCCTCAGGCCCCTGCCCCCTCACCTCCTCCTGAGGGTCAGTTTGGCACAGGGAGACCAATACACAGGCCTCGTGCTCCCAAACCAGCTCCCAGATCTCCTCTGGTCCCGCAGGGCCCATCAGCACCACGTGGTCACGGCCAGAAGGTCCACCCTGCAGAGCACAGCTTATGCGTGAGCTCCCCTGGGCAGGGGTAGGCTGAGATGTCCCCTCCTCCCTCGTCCCCCTCCCAGTTCTAGGACCCCTGCCAGGCCTGGCCACGGAGACCCAAATGGTCAGAGGACAAGAAACAGAACACCCGCCCAGCACCACCTCACCGGGAAGAACCAGGCTTCTGGCATGTTGTCGGCGGGGCTGTCCTCCACCGGAGTAGAACCATCATCTGGGGGCAGACAGGCGGTGAGACGCCAGGTGCCCCCTGCTTGCCCCAGGCTGGAGTGGGTGCTCAGCCTGCTCAGGTTCCCAAGGGAAACTCACAGGAGCAAGTGCCATCCGTCTCACAGCCAGGAGGGGGCGCCGAGGAGCCAGGCTCGGCCTTGATGGCCTGCAGCAGGAGCTGGGAAGATGGGTGCTGTAAGAATGTGGGCAGCCCACCCTGCACCTGCTGGGCACAGGAAAGAGCCCTCTGCCACCCCATCCGCCCACCCAGCCTTGGCCGACCCACTACCTTGTACTCCCTCAAGAAGCCGGCATTGGCGTTAGCCGCTTTCTTGGCATACACCTGCGCAAAGTTGGTCACTGATATGGGTCCAGACCTAGGGGAGAGCAGAGAAGGCACTGGGGGAGGCCATGGCTGCTGCTGTGCCCCCACTCAGCCAGAGCCAGCAGCCTGTGGTGGGAGGAACGCAGAGCATGAACCCTTCTCACGCCACCTCGTCCCCCCGCCCCAGGTCCTAGGCCCTGTGGCATACTCAGAGATGTCACAGGATCCTTCCAGAATTTTCCGCAGGAGACAGCTGTGCAGGAAGATGTACTGGCTCTGGCAGGGGTAGGAGGTGGGAAGGAGGAGTCACTCTTGGATGAGCATGTCCGGTAGCTACCCAGTGCAGTGCCCAGGGTATGGGGTGGAGACAGGGGACCCCAAGATTCCCGTGAGTCCCACATGGTCAGGGTCCAGCCCAGCCCGCCTGCCAAGACGCCCACCGGAGTCTGGATCATGAGGGGCCGATGCAGCCGCAGTGCGTACACGGCATTGAACACATCCACCACTGGCTCCTCCTCCAGCTGCTGCAGCAGCCTCGACAGTGCCACAAAGGTGCCCGTCCGGCCGACGCCTGCACTGTTGGCATGCCCCAGAGAGCTCACTGAGTTAGTGAGCACACTGGCCATGCACCCAGCACCCTACACTCCCGCCCCCTCACCTGCAGTGCACCAGGATGGGCCCAGCACCCTGGGTGGCCCGTGCCTGCTCCCGGACAAGCTCCATGAAGGTGAGCAGGGCACCAGGCGCCTCCGGGACACTGTGGTCAGGCCAGGCTGTGAACTGCAGCTGCTTCACCTTCCGCTGCTTGTGCTGGGCACCCTGCGAGCCGTGGCAGAACGCGCTTCTTGTCTTCCCAGCCCCGCCAAGACTTTCTCTTCCGGCAGGGAGGCCTCCCCCGCGAGTGGCTGTTGCCAACTGTCTCCCTCCACCCTGTCCCTTCCATCTAGTTGCTTCCTAAGCCCTTTTTTTCTTCTCCAGCCTCCCGGGCAATCCCCCACCCCTTACAGAGAGTGTCCAGGCAGACAGGGTGAGGCTGGACTTTGCTTTTCTGTTGCCTGAGGTCACAGAGAACCCTGAACCAAGTACAGGAACCATCACTGATCAGTTTGACCTTGACCTCCCTGGACGAGCCCCTAACTTTCCCTGTGCCTGCATTCCCCTCCCTCAACCACCACCCGCCTGGCCCCAAAAGTGAAGGGTTGTGGGCGTCTCCTTCCTAGCCCCTGTCGGGGGCAGGCTCTCTGAAGCCCCGCTCTCACCACCCCACCCTACCTGCCCCTGGCACACACATGCTGTAGCTGGAACTCCCGCCGAGTCCATTCATCCTTAGGCTCTTCAGCCAGCAGGTGGATGGTGAGCTGACCATGGGTGATGGGGGTAGAGTCCGCCGGCCAGTAGTGTTCACACAACACCTAGGGAGGAAGGACAGAGAGAGGCCAGCCTCAGCCCGGCCACTGCCTCCTTTTCCCAGTCTCAACCCCCCACCACCTCCTTCCTTACTTATTTTTATCTACTTAGTTGAGAGACAGACCGTGAACTCCCATCTGCCCCCAAATGTTCCCAGCGGCTGAGGCCAGGCCAGGCTGAGGCCGCCATCTGGGAGCTCGATCCGGGTCTCCCAGGGAGTGACAGAAACTCAGTCCCTTGCACCCTCACCTGCCACCTCCCAGGTGTGCAACAGGAGGAAGTCAGGCCCAGGAGCCATGGCTGGACATCAAACTCGGGAGCTCCAAGGTGAGATGTGATCAGCTTAGCTGCCCGGCCAGACCCCCACCCCCACCACCCCCTCTGCTGTCTGCAAAACCCAGCTCCAAAGCCATCTCCTCCAGGGGCCTGTCTTCCCTTGCTGGGCTCCAGCACCGGCAGCCCCATGTGGCCCTGGAGACTTGGAGTTAGGCGTCTCCTTGACCCTATATTCCAGCAAGTGGTCAAAATCAGCAACCTATTGCCCAGGGCCCAGCAGGCTCAATGGGAAAAGCCAAGTGCCTGCCCCTCCTCTGCCAAGAGCAAGGGGCCAGTGGAAACTGAGCCAACCTTGGGTGTGCTCATCCAGTCCCCTCCCCTGCCTCCCTCATCCTGGGTGACCCTAGGGCCTCCCCACCCTGCCTCCAGACCTGCCTGCCACCGCTAACCCCCATGGAAGATGCCAAGGGGGCCCTTCCTGCGTGGGTGCAACGCCACCTGGCGGTCATTACAAACACTGCATGAGGCTCACCCTGCCGTTCTCCATGCCCACGGTCAGCATGACAATGATGTGCACCTGCTGCTCCCACACCAGCCGCCAGAAGTCCTCCAGTGTTCTCTTGAGAGGCCCCTGAGTGGCAATGAACTCCTGGGGGTGGGTGTAACCCTGGAGGGATAAGAGGGGAGGGCAGACTCTTCAAGAGCACAGCAGCTATCCCAGGCATAACCTTCAGTGTGGCCATGCCACACGTGTGCAAACACAGGAACACATGTGTGCACCAAGAAGCCCAACAGAAGATTGGGGGTGGCTTCAGAGACCACCATCCGTGCTCCACCTCAGAGGGATCGGGAAGACCTGCCTGACCACAACAAGAACTCAACATGCCAAAACCAGACTGCCCAGCCCCAGAGGACCTTCCAGAAACCAAGTCCCAGCTTCCCATACTCAAACACCGGCTGTGCCTTCCCGTCACTCCCCAGCCAGCATCTACAGCCTCAGCTAACAGCTCCCCTGCATTTGGCCTTCACCGCCCAGTCCCATCTCACCTCCTACCCTCAACTCCCCTCCTTAAGCAGCACACGCTGCCGCCAGGATCTTGGCGCCTGGCTGTTTCCTGCAGGGCCTTTCCTCTGCCATTGCTTATCCAGGCCCTGTGCCATCCTCACAGCTCAGATGCCTGCCTCCTCCCGCAGGATGGCTTCCCTGACTCCCTGGTGGAGAAAAGACCCCCTTGGCTGGCCCTGTAGGCTGTGCCTGCTCCTCTTCAGAGCTCTTCACACATTCATCCACGCTCACACACTCTTGCTCATCCACACTCACACACAATACGCACACGCACACTCACACACATACACCCATGCTCTTCACACTCCATACACATGCTAACACTCACTCTCATACACACATTCACACACATTTGTGTACTCTACACCCTTATGCACTCACATACTCTCTCACACACATCACGCTCTGGGTGTCCTTGCAGGGCAGGGACTCGGCTAATTCTACCAGCCTCCTGTGGCCCAGCACACAGCTGACCTGGGGCAGACCATCACCCATGTCCACTGGCCTTGATCTCAAGAAAAACAGGCTGCCAGTGCTCATGGACAATGGCCGCAAACAGCCCAAGCTGGGAAGTGGGCAGGTGGGCAGGTGGGCAGGCGGGCAGGCAGCCCTTACCGGGATGAAGTTGGCGTTGATGTAATCAGAGTGGGGCTCTCCCTCCAGCTTGCTCAGCCTGACCCGGGAGTGGTCATCTGCAGGGCAAGAGAGAGGTGTTCAGTGCCATTCCTGCCCAGTGCCCTCCCGTTCCCAGCACTCACAGGGCAACACATGTGGGTAGCGGTTCTTGGTGGTGTTGGCAGGGTGCTCGGCCTCCACTCGGGGCTGCTCCTTGCCCACCTCCTTCAGCTCCTGGCAAGGCAAGGTGGGCACCGGTTGCTGAGGGTCAGGGATGGCAAGCACATAGCTGGGCACTCTCCCTAGACCCATGTGCAGCTTCAAACCAGCCTGGGTGCCCACAGCCTGAAGAGCCCTGGCTGTACCTCAAACTCCTGGAAGAATGCCTGATATGCATCAGCGCTCTTGGCCTCATAGCTCTGTCGGAAGCTGTGGATGGGGATGGGCCTGTGGATTCGCCTGGTGGGAGAGGGCAGCAATGGGCTCTCCAGGGGGCAGGCGTGCAGGATCCGGCCCTGCCCTGCCACCGATGGGGCGCTCCATCTGGCTGCACAGTTCGACAGTGACTTTGGGATCTGTGTGTTCCCAGCCAGCTCCACCGACGCCCAGCTTGGCCGTGACCCAACCACGTACAAAGATGGAGAAGGGGAGCCATGAGGGACGGGAACATGAGAGGTGGGGGCTTCACACTCTGGTCTCGGGGCCCTGGGGAATCTCTCTGCATGGTCAGGTCTGCTTTTGCCCCTAGGGTAAGCCAGGCAGCACCAGGCAGCAACAGGCAGTGGCGGAGGCCCAGAACGGGTGAGTGTGCAGGCTAACTTTGTGTCGGCTTGGCAGGGCGATGCTGCCCTAGAGTCAACCATGATTCTGGATGTTTCCATGCTCGTGTTCTTTGTGGGGGACATGAACAGGGAAATCAGCTGATGTTAAGGTAAGCTGACTGATTCCACCCCTGCGGGTGGCAGTAAACCCTTCATCTGAAGTCTGGGCTAGAATGAGGCTGGACCACCCCGGACCAAGAGGTGGTTTTGAGACCTAATATCATGGCATAGTGGGTGAGGCCACAGTCTTGCAATGCCAGCATCCCATATGGGTTCCGGTTCATGTCGTGGCTGCTCTGCTTCCAAACCAGCTCCTTGCTAATGTATCTGGGACAGACCAAGTGCCTGGGCCCCTGCACCCATGTGGGAGGCGCTTCTGACTCCTGGCTTTGGACTGGCCCAGCTCTGGCCGATGTAGCCATTCATAGAGTGAACCAGAAAGTGCAAGATCTCTGTGTGCCCTGATTCTCAGAGGTGCTAACCTCTACCCTGAACCTGCAGGTCAAGGAGGAGGAGGCTCCGTGGACTGAGGGCAGGCAGAGAACTGCAGAATGGAGAAAAGATCTTCCAGAAGGTGTGGTGGTGCTGCTGGTGGCTGAGGAAGCAAAATTGGGGTCCCCCGGCAGAGAGCAGGCCCCCATCCCAGGAAGCTTGGGCAAAGCAGGCCCTCACCTCTCGCCACATGTGGGGTGACCCGGGGACATACACTCACCGTGTGCTGTGAGGCATCAGCTCCTGGGCAAATCCACGCTTGTCTGCCCTGCAGAGGGTGGAGGGGCAGGTGGCAGGCAGCCCCTCCAGGAGTGGGACAGGACCCCAAAAAGAAGCTCCCCTCACCCATGCCTGCCTTGTCTTGGCTCACCTCTGCCCCTTCCTCCTCCTCCTGCAGCACAGCAGACCCAGCACGGCACACACAGTGAGAAGGCAGCAGCTCGCTGTGCCCAGCGCCACCGGCAGGGGCAGGGAGGCAGGGGACACACTGATCCGGGGCTCTGGAAGTGGGCAAGGTGGGGGAGGGGCAAATCAGCCTCCTAGCCCCAGGACCCTCGGGGTGGGGACAAGGTGGACAGAAGGAATGCACCTCGAGCCCCCTAGTCCCACAAGTAAATCTTGGTGAGAGGAGACTGCCTGGGGCAGAAAGCCCTCCCAACCCCCAACCACCAGACACACCCCAGAAGCCCCAGGATCTGCATGGTCCCTGGCATGGTCCCTAGATGCACAAAGCTGCTGAGCTCTGCAGGTGCGGCTCCTCCCACTGCAGGGTTACGCCAGCATGCAATGCACACCAGATGTCTGAGGGTTACAGAGGAAAGAACGTCACATCTCTCATCTTGTAACTAAACACACGTGCAGGAGGTAAATCTTTTGGACAATGTAGTGTAAATACACTGTCCCTGGGTGGGCGTTGGGGCTCCATGGGCCTCAGCCCTCATTGGCGTTGAGCTGGTGGGGCTGCCCCACTTCTGATCCAGCTTCCTGCTCATGGAGAGCAGCAGAGGACTCAAACACCTGGGCCCCTGCACGCACGTGAGAGACCACGTGGGTTCTTGGCTTCATCCTGGCCCAGCCATGGATCTCTCTCTCTCAATCCCACCCCCCTCTCTCCCAACCTCTATCCCCCTCTTTCTCTGTCACTCTGTGTTTCAAATAAACACATTTTCACAAATAATTAAATGTCCCCAGCATTAACGCCACCTGGTTCGTTCTGCCTTCACCTGTCCACCCCTTGCCCCCTCTGAGGTCACGTTGGTGGCTTGTCCTCCTTGCTCTTTAGCCAAGCGCTGACCTGGGCCCTGCAGAGCGGCGGCAGATGGGGGTGCTGGGGCAGTGCAGGAAGGAGGTGGCCAGCAGCCAGCCTCTTTGTGCCACTCCCACCCCCACACAAGCCCAGGGTGGACTAAGCGGTCCTCTGTCCCCGGGCCTGGGGCCCCTGGCTCTGCTGGGCAGGGCCTGAGCCCACCCCTTTCTGCTGCTGTCTGGGGGGAACTTCAGAAGAGGGGGTCCTACCTGAGAAGGCTGAAAAGGAGATCATGGGCTCTGGGGTGTTGGACCTGGTGAAGGCCACGACGCTGAACCTGGGCCAGAGACACAGCGGGACTGTCCACGAGGGGCCGGCTCCCAGGGCAAGTCACCTCCCAGGAGACCCCTCCCTCACCTGTTCAAAGGCCAGAGCGTTTCGTGGAAAGTAGAACCAAAAGATAAGCTTGCTCTGGTGCCAGGAGCCCTTAAGATCCATGCATGTAAGGACCTCCCCAAAATTTGTGAAAAAAAATGATATCTAGTACATGTGCATAGTAGATGGATTAAAAACAAAACAAAAAACAAAAACTGCGGTACATCTGCTCTGTGGAATAGTACACAGCCATTAAAAAGAAGGAAATTCTACTGTTTGCAACAACATGGTCCCAGTGAGAGACCTTTACGCTCAGTGAAATAAGCCAGTCCCAAAAGGACAAATACCATACGTTCACTCTGATACAAGGCAGCCTGCATGCAAAATGCAAAACAAGCACATACATATATTCTCACACATGAACTAAGTAACGGAGACCAGCGTGGCGGGAAGGGAAGGTACAGTGCAGCATGGAGCTCTGCTCCTGAGTGAAAGGAGAACTCCCAACAGACAAAATACACCTTGACATCACGATACATTCTCTGCCTTTGTGCCTCAATGCATGACACACTTACGTAGCACAGTGCTAAAGTTGTGACTGTTACTAGAGGACTATAGTCCTACAATAAAATGGGTGAAAATTGGAAGGGAAGAAAGGGAGGAAGAAATCCTCATGTCTACAAAACTGTATCATGGAAAACAATACTAATTTTTAAAACTTTTAATGAGAGCCCAGCACAGTAGCCTAGCTGCTACAGTCCTTCCCTTGCACACTCTGGGATTCCATATAGGCACCAGTTCATGTCCCGGTGGCCCTCCTTCCCATCCAGCTCCCTGCTTGTAGCCTGGAAAAGCAGTTGAGGATGGCCCAAAGCCTTGGGACCCTGTATCCCAAGGGAGACCTGGAGGAGGCTCCTGGCTCCTGGCTTCAGATTGGCTCAGCTCCAGCCGCTGCAGCTGCTTGGAGAGTGAATCACCGGACAGAAGATCTTCCTTTCTGTCTCTCCTCCTTTCTGTATATCTGCCTTTCCAATAAAAACTAATACAAATGTAAATATTTTTTAAATGATGCATGGATTGCAGGTTTTTTTTGCACCAAGATAAAACTCTGGCTGTTCTACTTCTCGTGAGCGTTTGGAGTGTTCCCAGGGCACCTGCCCACCTTTCCAAGAAGCAAGAAACAGCTCTAGGCTGAGCATTCTTGAACATGCCCTGGTAAGCAGAAACAAAATCCACCCTTGCTCCTTTATGAAAAGAAAAAAAGACCCATGCGACAGATGAGTGTCCCTTTTTTGTCCTGCCTGCCAGGAAGCCCAGCTGAAATAACCATGGACTCTGATGGGCCAGCAGCTGCTCTCTGTGAATCACTGCAGCTCTTTGTGGACAGAACAAGTTAAAACCCCTTCCAGGAAACTTGGGAGGGTTCCCTCGGCCCAAGCCTCACCTGTACTGGACTCCCGGCTTGAGCGGCCCATTGCAGATGTCCTGGGTGCGGCCACAGTCTTCCGTCCCCATGGGCACAGTCCAGGATTTGGGTCTCGCCCAGGGCCCCGGGTAGAAGGGGTTAGGAAGTAGGAGGGCCAGGTAGGAGTCGCATCCTCCATAGTAGTGGTCGTACCACGTGTGGTTGATGGCTGCCCGGGAAGGCTGAGCCACTGGCAAAGAACGAGGTAGGGGCTGAGCAGGATGGGTGGTGGGGCCAAGACTTCTCTACCCAACACACAGGGCCTGGCCCCTCTCCAGGATGCTCCCTCAGGGACAGCCTCAGGGACATTCTGGGTGCCCCTCCCTGCTCTGGCCCCATCCCTGGACTCCTCCCCTTGCCCAGCTGCTCACATGACATGTTGGTGGTAGTAACAATGCCGAACCACTGGATCCGCCCGTCTTCCTTGCCAAACATGTCCCACGCGATCACCACCCCCATCCCCATCTCGGGTTCCATCTGGGGAGCGGCGGCCAGCTCAGGGGGATGCCAGTCTGGGGGTGCAAAGGAAGAGATTGGGGGCCTGTCCATTAAGCTGAAGGGGCCCCCAGAGCCCCTCCCAGTGCCCAGCAGGTGGACATCAGGACTCCAAGCAATTAGGACCTCGGGGCTCCAGGCAAGGACTGGGATTAGGTGACAGTAAGAGCCACAGGTGGCCAGGATCAAGGCAGGCAGTGATGGAGGGCAGCTATGGGAGCAGAGGGGTCTCGAAGGCCACGGGGGATACCTACCCTCAGCGGAAGTGGTGCACACCAGGGTGACCACCCGGCTCTGCAGGCCATTCCGGCCCAGCACAATGAGGCTAAGGCGGTAGGAGGAAGCAGGTGCCAGGCCAGGGAGCAGGAGCGCATCCTTGGAGGTGTTGAACTGGAACACAAGCTGAGCATCCCCTCTTGCAGCCAGCTTTTCTGCCAGGACCAGACAGGAGCTCACGTCCCCAGGAGGCAGCGTCCAGTTCAGAACAAGGTGGGTGGCCTCAGCCTGGCACTGTACATCCTCCACAGGACCCGGCTCTATGGGGAGAAAAGCCAGTAGGAGTCAGCAGATGCCAAGGGGATCACCTCCAAGCCAGGGGCTCTGGGTCCCACCCAGTGGGTGTGAAGGGGTGGGGCATCAATGTCCACAGCAAGGGGATCTCAAGCCCAGGGCAGGGGTGGGTGACACAATATCCTCTTGGTCAGGTGGCCCAAGGTGGAATGGACAGTGTCCCCTGCCTCTCAGGACACCACCCTCCTCCCCAGTGGTCTCCAACCTACCGACAGGCAGCATCGCTGGGTGAGTGGCCACCTGCAGCGGCCCTGCCTGGCACCGCACGAACAAGGAGAGGTTGCGTCCCGGCGTGAGGTCCCTAAGCACCAAGCGGCTTTGGCCAAGCATGAGAGGCTGCTCCCAGGAGCGGTGCCCAGCCTCTGAGAGCCAGGCATGGCATGCCCCCCGCCCCAGGGGGCCTCTGGCCCAGGCCAGGTTGACCACAGCGCTGCCTGCCTGTATAGATACCAACAACTCGCTGGGCAGGAGTGGTGCTGTGGGGGCAAGGGGAACAGTCAGCCAGGGTGCTGGCTGGCCTCAGGAGACTCTCTGACCCCAGGCCAGGCCCTCAGGAGGAGGGAAGCAGCCCCACCCATCTTCCCCACACCCTACTCACAGGTCCAACCCGAGACGTTGGCAGCCGCAGCACGCAGGGGCCCAGCCCATGAGACAATCTCTACCTCGTACTTAGTGCCTGGGATCAGAGCCCAAAAGCTGGTGCAGTTCACCTCGGCCCCCAAGGCCCTGGTGCTTGCCCGGACGCCTGCCTGGTACAGGGTCACCTGGTAGCTGTCCCGGCCCCCAGGGGCATGAGCCCAGACTGCAAGGAGCTGGCTGGGGCCCTCGCTGGTCACATTCACCAACAGAGGAGCGAGTGGGGCTGCAGGGAGAGCAGGTGTGGGCAACAGATATAAGACTAGAGCCCTGGTTCCACCAATCCCCAGGACCCACAGCCCCCTCCCTGGGAGTGTGGAAGGCGGTGGGGTGGACACTCACGCATCCAGCCTGTGGCGTTGATACTGTTGCTTGCATCTGGACCCCGTAGGGTGGTCAGCTGCACCAGGAACTCAGTGCCCGGGAACAGCAGGGGCCAGGAGAAGGTCTGGGCTTCGGGGGCCACAGTGTCCTGGCTCTGCAGGATCAGGGGCCTCCTGCGGTACAGGCACAGCTGGAAGCCGTCACGGCGTCCTGGTGGTGCAGCCCAGTGAGCCCTAAGGGCTGGTGGCCGAGTGGCAATGCCCAGGGTCAGGTTGGTAGGAGCAGCAGGGGCTGCAAGGACAAGGAGACGGACTTGGTTGGCATAACCAGAGGTCCCTCCTCCCCTGCCCCCCAGGCCCTGCCCCCCAGGAAGTCCAGCCTGCATGAGGCTCACACGGAAGCTGTGCCTGTCCAGACACTTGCTCCCATCTCTCCCAGCTCAGCACCTGCTCTCACACCAGGAGGGCCCTGAAAACCATCACATCTGCAGGCTTCCAGCTCCGTCCCTCTGGCTTCTCCTCCCTCTGGCCCCAGGGCCTTGGAACGGGCTTAGCCTCTGATGAAGCCTTCCTCCCACCCTGCACTGACCTGGAGCTGCCCGCTCAGCTCAGCTTCCTCCCTGGGAACACCCTCTGATCTAAGCAGGTGTCCCTTCTGTAAACCCTGAGGGCACATACACAGACACCACAGACACACACACCCTGATTTCTGATACTCAGCCCCTATAACCTACCTGACTTCACGAAGCATGCTTATTCCTATTAATGCTTTTACTTCTACTACAGTGCAATACATAAAGCTATTTACTTTATGTATGTGTGTGTGTGAACTTTATATAATGTATGGATCTAAATCATCTGTTCCAGGCTGGTGCTGGTGCAGTCATCTCCTGTGACACCGCCAGCCCACTCTGGAGTGCCAGTGTGGGTCCCAGCTTCTCCACTTCTGATCCAGCTCCTTGCTAACGTACCAGAAGATGGCCCAAGGGCTTGAGCCCCTCCACCTGTGTGGGGGACCCAAACGAGCTCCTCAACCCTAGCTGTTGTGGCCACTGGGAGAGTGAACCAGTGGAGAGAAGACGTTTCCAGGGCCTGACGCAATGGTTCATTGACTAAATCCTTGCCTTGCGTCTGCCAGCATCCCTTATGGGCACTGGTTCGAGTCCCAGCTGCTCCACTCTCCCATCCAGCTTCCTACTTGTGGCCTGGGAAAGCAGTAGAGGATGGCCCAAAGTCTTGGGACCCTGCACCTGCATAGGAGACCTGGAAGAGACTCCTGGCTCCTGGCTTCGGATTGGCTCAGCTATGGCTATTACAGCCACTTGGGGAGTGAACCAGCAGACTGAGGATCTTTCTCTCTATAAATCTGCCTTTCCAATTTAAAAAAGTCTTCCATTCTGTCACTCTGCCTTTTAAATTAAAAAAAAATATAAAATCTGTCTATCTTCCTTTTGAGACTTCTAGCTATATACCTAGAAAACTGGGCAGCCATTGATAACTGGTGAGCAGTTGGAAAGAAGGGGACAGGGGCAGGGAGGCAGACAGGGCAGGAGGCTACACAGCCAAGTGGTCAGGCAGCGGTGGGCAACGCTTGCATGCAGATTTATGCAAGGCTCCTTCACGCCAGACCAGGACATGGCCAAGCAGGGACAGTGGGAGCCAGTTCCCACCACATCCTCACCCCCAACCCCTCCCTGAGGCTGCCACCAGGCACTCACGGGTGCAGCTGCGCATGCTCTGGACGGCTGAGCTAAGATTCCCGGTCGAGGCCCAGACAGACAGGATGTAGCAGGAGCCGGGCACCAGACCCCGCAGAGTAAGGCTGGAGTTGTCTGGGCCCAAGTGGACCAGACCACCTTGGAGGCCCTGGCTGCCATCCTGGTGCCAGCTGACGCTGTAGCCTTCCCGTTGCCCTGGTGCAGGGACCCAGCCAACCACCAGGTTGGAGGGACTGCCTTTGCTGGTGGCTTCCAGGGACAATGGTGCCAGGGGAGCTGAAGAGATGGGCAGAGTTTAGCAAGGGTGCCACCCGCACCAACGCAGGGCCTTCCAGTCCGCAACACCAGGGACACCCTGCAGCTGGCCCTTACCTATATGGCCTGTGAGGCTCTGAATGATGACACCCAGGGGGGAAGTGATGGTCACATGGTAGCGGGCACCAGGTACCAGCCCACAGAAGGTGACACGAGTGGCACCGGATGGCACAGAGATGTTTCCAAGGAGGCCTGGATCACCTTCTGCATAGAGCAGCGCCCGTCTGCCGGGCAGCTGGGTGGCCTCCAACCCATGCAGTTGCAGGGTGGCCCCATGACTCTGCCTGGGCTGGGCAGTGGGCCCTGGAGAAGAGGCAGACCCTGGAGAGTAAAAACCTATCTGTCCTTGGGTAGGACCCATCCTGTGTCCCACACCCACCCCTAGTCTGGACTCACCATCCAACCAGGCGCTGGCCTGGACCCAGGCATCATGCGGCCCAGCCAGAGCCTTCAGCTCCAGGGCATAGTGGCCACTGGGCAAGGGCCCTGGGAATGAGGCATTGAGGGTATCTGGGCCCAGAGCAATGGTCTTTTCCACCGGCCCACTCAATTGCAGCAGGAAGCCATCATGCGCACCCGGCCCTGCTTTCCAGCTCGCTTGGAGCTTGGGGGGTTCTGGGGTCAGCACCAGGTCCAGGGGAGCAGAGGGATCTGTGTGGGAAAGCAGTAAATTCTCACAGGAAGCTCCATAGGGTGAGAAAAGCCCTGCTCTTGCTGCACCTGCTTTTCTCTGCACAGTGACTCCATCTTGCCTGCATGTCCCCCGACATAATCAGCCATGTGCAGGTCACACACAAGCACTGTCTGGTGCCACGGGATCAAGAACAACCGTGACCAACTCATCCAGGCTCAGTAGGCAACCTGGTTCCTGTCCTTAAGCACAGCACAGCAGAACTACCCAAGTGACAGTGTGGACAAATCTGCCCGCGATCGCTGGGTATCCGGCCCCTCGTGAGCCATGTGGCCCTGGGTGCCTTCTGATTTGGCACCTCAGCTCTGTCCACCATAAAGATGCAACAACTTAGCTGACCCAGAGCTGCTTGAAGGAGGCAATAAACCAAATACAGAAAAGAGACCAAGCTGAGCACACAGACAAGGTGCACCTAACTGGTAGCCACCACAAGGTACCTCCTCCAGCATGCCTTCCCCACCCCTGGCATCTCTAGGTCCCTGGGCCAGTGGGCAGAATCTGGGGGAGGTGTCCCCTTTGCCTCCAGGGACTCACAGGTCCACTCAGTGGCATTGGGTCCCACCACGTGGTGGAGCCCAGCAACAGCATTGAGCATCAGCTCATAGCAGGTGCCTGGAGAGAGGTGGAGGAAGGTGTGACTGGAGATGCCCCGGCGGACCACAGCAGTCATGTTGGTACCAGCCAGCAGGTCTGTGAGCAGCAGGTGCAGCTGGGCGGCCCCCTGGGAGCCATTCCAGGAAGCCTGCAGGGCACCCAAGCCGAGGGCACGCAGCTCTAGGTGATCAGGAGGCACGGGGACTGCAGGAAGATGCAGAGAACGAACTCAGGTACCCAGCAGCAGGATGTTGGCCCTGGGCCCAAGAGGCAAGTGGCACACATCCCCAATTCACCTGTCCACTCGCGGATACTGGTTTTTGCTTGGAGGGTGCCAGCCCAGGTGGTCACCTCCAAAAGGTACTCGCTACCCGGGAGGAGGTCACTAAAGTTGTAGGACAGGGCATCAGGGGCCATGGAGACATTGTGAGTTAAGGTGTGGGACTTCAGGTGATAGAGGAGAAGGTGGTGACCATCCTGCTCACCGGGGGGCTTGCCCCAGGAGGCCTGCAGGTGGAAGGGGCTCCCCGGGCTGCAGAGCTGCAACCCCTGGACAGACAACGGAGCTGCAGCAGGGAGAGAAACATCAAGGTTAGTGCCTAGGACACCGTCCTGGGAGAGGGACCCTGGAAATGCCATCTCCCTCCACCGGCAGGCCCCCATACCAGTGCGGGTAGTGAGGGTTACAGTGACATTGTGCCCACAGGGGTACAACGCCATCACGTCTAGTTGGTAGCGACCCCCGGGCACCAGGTTCTGGAACTTGAAGCTAGATGCATTGGTGAGCACCTCCACCTGCTCGCCTTCACTGGAGCCAAGGCAGCTGAGACATGTGAGGTGGAGGACGTGGATCGGCCCACCAGGCTCCAGGGCTGTCCAGCTCACCAGGAGGCTAGGGGGCATCCCCTGGCTGCTGACATTTACGTCTGGGGGTGAGCCTGGGGAAAGGGGCTACACTTAGGCATGCCCCCAGGACCTTGCCTGCCCCGAGAGGAGGCATGAGGCCAAAGAGAGCCAGAGCTGTCCTCCCCCACTGCCCACCCACAGATGGCCCAAACCCCTCCCCCTGACGCGCCTACCTTCTGGATTCCCCTCTGGTGGGGGGTGGCATGCATTTCCCTTTGGGGGACAAGGAGAAAAGAGAAAATGGGCAGAGGCCTCTGGGGGCCCAGGATGGCATCAGAGAGGAGGCCCCTCTGTGTTGCCCCTCCACCCATCACACATTTAGGGAGCGTCTATCAAAGTGCGGGGGATAGCCCTGCAGCTGCTGGAACCAGCTGTTCTTGTCCTCCAGCAGGCTGGCCCAAGGGAGAAGAAAACATACGCCCTCCCATGGAGACCAGCTGTGTGGCCCTGGGCAGAGGTGGGCAGCAGGACCAACCCCCCAGGCCACCCCTTCCCCCACCCTCCAATGCCCACCTTACCTTAGCCAGAAAGCCCGGGAGCCAGAGGAGGGCAGCCAACAGCATCTGGAGCTTCATGCCCGCGACAATGGCAAGGGCTGCAGAGGGAAGCAGGAGGTGGAGGGGTGGAGTTGGCCCCCACCCTCCCCTCACCCTACTGGCTGGCAGGTGGGCATGCCCAAGGGTGGGCAGGGCAGCTCCAAGCAGACAGCAAGCAGCCGAGAGCAGGAGATGGCCACCACCCCACCCAGCCTTGGCAGTGCTTCTGAGGGGCAGGAGCAGGGGAGAGGCGGAGACTGGCTCCAGGCCCAGAGGTGGAAGGGGTTGGAACTCGGCTGGCAGACAGGAGGGCCAGACTGGCCACCTCCTAGCCCCCAGCCCCTCCCCACTCACACAGAAGAGGCGGCTGACTCCCCCAGGCCTGCCCCTGGACAGGGGTGTGGCATCCACTCCACTCCAAGTTCACGGAAACAAATAGGGAGTTTGTTTGCAGCAGCAAGGGGTAGGGGGCGTTCTGGCGACCCTTGGTTGTGTTCCTGGGAGCACAGCCCAGTGGAGGGCCCCTATGGCTAAGGGCAGAACTTGGATTTCTGCTTCCACAGAGCAGAGATGGCCAGGTACCTCCCCACCCTCAACCTGACAGACTGGGTCCTCTCAGCCTGGGGAGCCCTCCGGGAAGCGACTTATGTTCCTAGCAGCTGTGCTTACTTCTCCACTGCCACCTCCCATCCTGGTTCCCTGCCCCCTTGAGTTCTGCCTCCAGCTGAGCCTGCCTGAGATCTAGCCTAGAAGACATTGAACCTGAGGCCTGGCCCGCCCCAGCACAGAGCTGGCTACTCACCTTGCGCTGCTCACCCAGGCGGGGAGGGAGGAGAGCAGAACTGGCAGCCCCAGCCCTGGCAAGGGAGTCCAGGTCCCAGAGCCCGCTCAGGGAGTGCAGAGGGGCCACGGGAAGAAAGTGGACAGATCAAGGAAGCTCTGAACTCCAATTCTGCCTCGGCTGGCTGGGAGATCAACTCAGCCAGAGAGCCAGGGACTGGCCAGCCCTCCACCCCTGCACCCAACCCCAAACCTCAGAGCCGCCTCCCGGCCCCTGGATGGAGGCCTAGAAACTCAGTCTTGCAGACTCATCAGATTTCCCAGGCTGTGTGTGCATGTGTGTGTCACACATGCACGCACACGTGCTCTGATGAAAGAGGTGGGGCTGAGGGGATGCCACGGAGCTCAGGCCCCATTCCCTCCCTCCCCCACCCCACCTCACCTGGGGACACTTCACGCTGCTTTTCCTAGCTCGACTGGAAGGAAAGAAATGAAGGAGCTTCCCAATCCATCACCTGGATAGTTCAGAGGTGGCAAAATGTGAGTTTGGGTCAAGGTGGGGTCTGACTCCTCCGAACACAGAGACCTGTTGGGGGCAGCACTGACCCTGTGGCCGGCTGCCAGTCCCCCTGCCCAGGCCAGAGCAGCATTGGGGCCAGGGCTGCCGTCCTCTCTATTCAATTGAAAAAAAAAATGCAGCTTGTCCCCTGGGTGCCACCCCACAAGCAAACCCACATCCTCTCCCTAGAGGGCCCGGTCCTCTTCAGCTCTCGGAGCACCTTACGGATTCAATCCTCGAAGAACAAGCCAGGAGGGCGCGAGCAGGTCCAGGTTCCCAAAACACGCACTGGCCCAGTCCTTCCCTGCAGCTATCCCAGGCGGCAAGCTTCCGGCTCCTCCCCTGCTCTCCCCAGTCTGAAGCCAAGGCCTTGAACAACCCCCACAATCGCTGAGAAAAGATTATCACCAGGCAGGAGAGGAGCAGGAAGGCCCCGGGCAGCCAACCTGCCCACTCTGCCTCCCACAGCCTGGGGAAGGGCACCAGGCCAGGGGAGGGGCCAGGCGGGAAGGACCTGCATGGGATGCGTGCCTGTGTGCACACACGGACCGTGAAAGCACAAGTGGACATCCAGGGCCAAAGTGGAGGGTAGGGACAGGAAGTTGCTTGTGGAGCTGATATCTCTGGGCACTGGCAGAGAAGGTGGGGTGGGGGGGGACTCCCTTCTGCCTGAAGCCCCCTGCCAGGGTGAGTGCAGTTATAGCAGAGGCCGGGTTGGCTGGATCCCTCCTGCTCTCTGCCAGGTGCCTCCACTTCACCTGCAGCGCCCAGAGGCAATAGGAGGAAAACCGGATCAGGTGGGCCTCAAGCTGTGCCTGGGGGCTCCCCTTCTGGCCTAGACCCCAGCCTTCTCTGTCCCACTTGCCTGTGTCCTGGCCCTGCCTCTTGTCGGAGAGAGGTTTCCCAGGTTCCAGCTGTGTCTCCGGCTCCCCCACACAAGCAGGGCAAGCCTAGGCCCGCAAACTCGGGGCCAAACAGGCTGGCTTAGGCTGGCCCCCGCATGGGGGGAGGGGGAAGGACATGGCAGTGACCACCTGGGAGCCTAAGGCTCTTCCTGTCCAGGAGGTGGGAGGGTTGGGAGGGTAGGGAGCAGGGCCCAGGAAAAGTCCCTCCCCTGGAATTTTGTAGGTTGGCAAAGAACTATCTGCTCCTGGGGGCTGCCAGGCAGGGCCAGCAGCTTCTGGGAACTCTAGATGTGTCCCCATCCCAGGGGATCCTGCCCCTGGGGACAGGCAGTTACAGCTCCCAGCCCCTGGCATGGGACCAACAGGAGGAGGAAAAGGACAAAATTGGGTTGTGGGGTGTGTGTGTGAGAGAGAGAGAGTACAGCAGGGATGAACGCATTAAGCACAGCCTGGGATGGGACCAGACAGGTAGCTTTGCCCCAGCACCAGCCCTAGCACACCCCCTTTGCCCCATTACAGCAGCTGGGAGGCCCCTGAGAGATACCCGTCCACTCTGCAGCCTCCCCAACCTGCCTCAACTTCCCCAGGCAGCCCCGGCGGCCCTGTATAGGCTGGAGAGAGTGGGCAGAGAAGAGGAAGGGGGAGTTGGTGACAGGCAATTCAGCCACCGTGACTTCCTTCCCCCGCTCAGGTCCACCACGGCAGCAGCAACCAGCTTCAGCTGACACCTCCCGTGCACTGAGCTGAGAGCTAAGCACAGCACAGGACCTCACATCCCCTGACCACCTCGGTCAGTCCTGGGGAAGGAGTAATCAGATAGTGGGCAGCGGAGAGCCCTGGAGGGCGCCCTGGAATGGGGAGGTACTGGAGGGGAGAGGGCCAGGCCCCAGGACAGATCCAGGAGAGGCAGGTGCAGGGCAGGTGGGCAGGAGGCAGAAGTTGTCCTCTCCATCCTAGGTAAATAGGAGACCCTGATGTCATCCCCACCACCTGCCTTCCCAGCATCCTTGCTATCTGCCCAAAAGCTCGGCTTCCAGCTGCTCACACCCTTGCCGTGCACCAGCCATTGAGAGGCATTGAACGTTCTGGGGCCTGGAAATCAGGGGGCACCCGGCCTACCGGTGAAGGGGGGCAGACGGCAGGTGGAGGGGGCCTTGCCACTTCCTCCTCCTCAGCCCTGTGGTGTCCTCACTTCCTGTTCTCGATAACCATCAACAAGCCCAACCCTCCTTCCAGCCCCTCCTCTCTTCCCCAGGCATCCCCCGTCAAGCTACCACCAATGGAAGCGCTGGCCAGTGGGGGCTCAGTCAGTGCCCACCAGGACACTAGGGACTCCCAGGCTGCTGCCCTCCACCCTGACCTGGGCACCGGAGTCTGCACTGCCCCAGCTGTCCCCAGTTGCCTGCTGGGAACACACGCTTGCTCCACAGAGGGGTTCAGATCCCAGGGGGAGCCAGGCATTGCAGGTTTCTGGCAGCGCCCCGAGCGAGGGCAGGTCCTGGGAGGCCTCTGAGTCCCCAAAATCCAGTCTTCATCCTTCACCTTAACCTTCTCCCAAAAAGCAGCAGCAGGCCAGCCCCCTCCCCACCGCCCCCTCGGGACACCTTTTCTGCAACATTTCTTTGCGGCTGTCACTGTGTGACGGCTGAATCAGAGAAGTGGGAGGAAGAGAAACGAATGCGCATTGTGGAAAGGAAGTGAATTCACAGCACTGCGAGGTGCCAGCAAATGGGCAGCCAGCATGGACCAGCCAGGGTGCTGGCCGAGCTGGGGCGGGGGTCAGTGGGATCCTGGAGTTGGGGGCCACTCTCTAGGCTCCAGGCACTCAGGAGCTCCCTGCAGCGAGGAGGCCGTGGGAGTCCTCTGGCGTGAAGGTCAGGCTGTCTGCCATCCGTAAGTCTGCATAGTGGCTGCTACGGCTCTCGGCTCTCGGAGGAGGCCAGGCAGAGGCCGGGGCCGGGGCTGGGGCTGGGCCCAGGACACACCTCTTAGTCTCTTCCTGAGATGGTCTGCTCCTTGCCACCCTCCTAAGCCGAAACCAGAAGCAACTGCAGGTTGGAGCCCTGCTCCGGGGACCCTGGAAAGGTGTTTCTCCTCTGTTATGTGTTCCTGCCTCAACTTCTCCCCACCCCTAGTCTCTGCCTGCCATAGTTCTTGCTGTTCTGTCATCAGGTGGCCTGCACTTGGCCACAAATTCCCAGGTTTAGAGCAGCGAGGTCACCCGGAGAGACGACTTTGGGTAGAAGCAGAGGCGTGGAAAGCAATCTGCAGCCGGTAGAGCAGGAGCAAGCTGGGGTGCTGGGTGGGACAGTGAGGAGCTGGGGGCACGGCTGGGACAGGCCCAAGGCCTAGAGGAAGAGGGCTCCGAAACCAGAGGGCCCAGGTCACCAGGGCTTGGATCCCGAGGGACACAGCACATTCAGCCTTGGCGGGCACAGGCAGCAGGCACGGGACCCCTGGTGGTGACAGCAGCAGGCACAAGAGGGCAGCATGCAGCTGGGGTGTGCGTGGGTGGCAGCGAGGAGGGGCGGAGGGAGGAAGCTGGCTTCCTGGAGCCTTCTCGGCCTCAAAGACAGACCGACAGACAGACAGCTGGCAAGAGGCTGCTTTAGTGAGTACTAGTGGGGGGGCTCTGGGGTGGCTGGGACTCCAGCAGGCCGGGAGGGAACCTCCATGGCGCGTGTGCACCAGTGTGAGCGGGGAAGGGGGTGGGGGGAGAAATGCCGTGCCTGGTGGGGAAGGGGTCCTGGTACTGCCACCCAGGGGCTGGGAGCCACAGGGAGCCGTAGGACAGCTGAGGTCACAGGCACCCACCTGCTGCCAGGCAGGCTCCCTCTGCCACCACACCTGCCAGGCCCATGCGCTTCCCTCTCACATCCATCCCGTGGGCTCATAGCTCTAACCCCCACGCCAGCTTGCAGTTGGCACCCTGGCTCGAGGAGACTAGGAAGCTGCCCCACCTCAAGAGGAGGTGGTCCCTTCCCATCCCCCCTACCCCCTCTTGTGGCCCCAGCTCTCGCCTCATTCATGCGCTGTCACTCAAGAGCTTGGTGAGGCCATTTCCTGTGACGGTTACAGAGGCGGGAGACGGGGGGATGGGCAGGAGGAAGGAAGCACCCCCGGCCAACCTCCCTGGACAGAGACCCCAGAAGCCAGAAATGAACTTGGGAGTGGGTATGCCAACAGTTAGGAGCAGACCCTGCTGGTGACCAGCAACCCAGCGGACCTGGGTTTCCAGCCGGCTTCCCCATGGCCCAAGGCCACCAGGTCTCCTTAGCGAACAGACACCTGTGGGTCTTCCCCCTTGCACCTTGTAAAGGTTTCCTTTTCCATGCCTCACCTTCTGTCATGGGGACCCCAGCTTCCAGACCCGGTACCTTAGCTTCTGGCCTCTCCCCTCTTCCCTCCTCTGTGGACTGTCCTATCTGCATCTCTCATCTCCAGCCTTCATGACACCCTTCCTCTCACCCCAAACCGCCTGCCGCCCTGGGTCCGGTCAATGAGACTCAGCCCCCACCCCCCCAAACATCGCCATGGTGAAAATGAGGTAACTCCTTAGGGAACACAGACACCTCCCCACCCAGAGAGGCAGAAATGCTGTGGGACAGCAGGTGGCCTAAAGTCAGCCACTGAGGGTCCCTGTCTTCCAGGTGGACACCATGGCCAGCTGAACCCAGTACCGCCGCTCAGCATGGTCCAGGCCTGCAGGGCGGCGCTCCAGAGCACAGCCAGCGACTTTGCCTCTGGGGGCAACCATGACCCAGCCTCCGCCGGCCAAAACACCTGCCAAGAAGCACGTGCGGCTGCAAGAAAGGTGAGCCTCTACCAGAGAGGAGGCCCCCCCGCCCTGACATATGTACCAGCTCCAACAGCACCAGTCCACGGGGCCCTCAGCGTGGGCTGCAATGTGGACAGGAAACCAGCAAGGCTCATTTGCATGTCTGGGGCATAGGGTTTCATGTCAACCCAGAACCCACTCCCTACATCCCAGGTAGGGTTGGGTGAGACCAGGGGCTTTCGTGGTGAGGCTGATCTGAGTCTCGGGGACTGGGATGGGTGTGGCAAGGGGTGGGCAAGTGGAGAGAGCTGTGGGCTTTAACACTGATCCAAGGAAAAGGGCGTGCAGCAGGGCCCCTGGAAGCTACCAGGCTTCTGGGTCAAGGGTAAATCGGGCAGCACGTGTCTTATACCCCAACTGAAACAATAGCAAATGCTGCAGGGTGCTCACTCGGTTCCCCGTGGGCTGTGCCTGCAGGCGGGGCTCCAATGTGGCCCTGGTGCTGGATGTGCGGTCCCTGGGGGCCGTGGAGCCCATCTGTTCAGTGAACACACCACGGGAGGTCAGCCTGCACTTCCTGCGCACGGCCGGACACCCCCTCAGCCGCTGGGCCCTGCAGCACCAGCCTCCCAGCCCCCAACAGCTGGAGGAAGAATTTCTGGTAAGAACTCAGGGTTCCCACTGGGCCCCTCTGCCCAGCAGAAGAAGCTGCTGGGCGCAGGGATCGGGGCTCCTCTTGAGAACTCCTTAGAAAAGCAGTTTGGGGTTTAGGGTGGGAAGCCACCCACACACTTCCTCTATCTGCCCTACACCCCATCCAGACCTCCCGTGCCAGGAAGGTATAACCAGGAGCTCCCCCGCCATGGAAAGTGTACAGGGGAAGCAGAGGGGACTGGGAAGGGCACTGTTGTTCATTCATATCCTCTCATCCTGCCAGAAGATCCCCTCCAACTTTGTAAACCCCGAGGACCTGGATATCCCTGGCCATGCCTCCAAGGACCGCTACAAAACCATCTTGCCAAGTAAGGGCTATATCCCAGAGAGCGGGCACTGACCCTGCGGCTGGCAGGTGCACAGGGTTAGCCTCACCTGGGGCATCATTTTTTGGCCGAAAAGTAACAGTACTCCCACCTCCCGCCAGGGGAAAGGGGGCCAAATCACAAAAGTAGCAGCAGTAGTGACCTCGGGAGGTGCTAATGGGCTAGCTAATGGGCCAGACATTGCTTTTCTCGTAACTGGATTTATTTATGTTTTATTTAGAAGGTAGAGTAGGGACTGGAGCAATGGCTCAATTGGCCAATCTTTCACCTTTAAGCGCTGGGATCCCATATGGGCACAGGTTCGTGTCCTAACTACTCCACTTCCCATCCAGAACCCTGCTTGTGTCTTGAGAAAGCAGTAAAGGATAGGCCAAAGCCTTGGGACCCTGCACCCGCATGGGAGACCCAGAAGAAGTTCCTGGCTCCTGGCTTTGGATCGGCTCAGCTCTGGTTGTTGCAGCCACTCAAAGAGTGAACCAGTGCTTGGAAGATCTTCCTTTCTGTCCCTCTCTGTAAATCTGCCTTTCCAATAAAAATAAATAGAATATTTTTAGAAGAAAGAAATGAAACAAAACCAACGTGGTACAGTTAGTTTCAACTCAAGATTAGAACGATTTGGCCACAGCCACTCTGTCTCTCTTATTGTTTCCCTCTGTTGCACCTTTTAGTCAAGTTGCCCGGATGACTGCTTCAATTCTGTTCCTCTCCCGCTCGAAAATGCTCTATAGTTCCCTATTGTCTACATAGCAAATCCTTTCCTTTTCAGCCGTATTTGTTGTATTTGGAAAGCAGAGTGGCAGATGGAGAAGAATCCCTACGATAACTAGAAGAAGGCCAGGCCAAAGCCAGGGGCAGGAACTCCATGTTGGTCTCCTGTGTGGGTGGCAGGGAGTCCTGTACGCAGGCCTTCATCTGCTGCCTCGCAGGCACATTAGCAGGAAGCCGGATCAGAAGCATGGGGTAGCCGGGATTCAAATGGGCATTTGGATGTGGGACAAGGACATTCCAAGCAATGACTGAACCAGCCCCACCGTGACACCTGTGCCACTCAACAGCAGGGATAAGCCCTGGGACCTGCTCCATCCCCCATCCCTGAACCTGCACTGTCAGCTTTTGATCCCTGCCCTGGCTGAGTTTTACTTTCTAGATCCACAGAGTCGTGTCTGCCTGGGCCGGGCCCAAAGCCAGGAGGATGGAGACTACATCAATGCCAACTACATCCGGGTGAGTGGTCTGGCTGCTCACCGTGACAGCGTGCAGAGGGGCTGGGACCATATCTGAGGACATCAGACAGTGTCCAGGGGCCCTGGATTCCCTCCTTGGCGTCTTCTCCACCCTTTCTTCCTTGGGGTGGGAGATGGACACTGAATAGGCCCCAAGACAGCAACCCAGAAAACAGAGAGGACGACAGAAGCTTCTGGAAGGAACAGCCACCAACTCTATCACCTGACACACACACCGACCTCTACGCTTGCCAACAAATAGTGCTACCAGTAGCTGTGCCTGGTTTCTCAGGATGCACTGTTCAGAAGAGCTGCATCTCTCTCTCTCTGATGTCTAGCCATGACCGCCAAATGGCAAGATGCATATTGGACTGCTGCAGTGGGTGGGAAATCAGTGCCCCCTAGTGGCTTGAGATGGAAAGGACAGGGTAAGGGTGGATAGAGAAAAAGAGCTGCCGGCTTCGGCGTGCGGGTAGAGGACTGCCAGGGATTTTGCTTTTCCCTGTGTGGGCAGAGACATGGTGAAAGATGGGTGAGAAGCAGAAGCCAGGAGCCTAAAGAGGAGGCCAGGCTGGGAACCATTTTGCTACTGAATAGGCAAAATCAATAGGCCTCTGCTGTAATGGGCAGCAATGGAGCACTCCTTCAGCAAACGTGGAACTGTGTTGGGTATTTTGTGTTGGAATAAAAAAAGCAGGACAGCAAAGAGCATGTACCAAATGATAGATTCTCAATCACTCACTGCCTGAACCCACATCAGCTAACTGCAACACACGCATCACAATACCCAGTTTGCAGATGAGAAAACTGAGGCTAGGCAGCAGCACAGCTAGGAAATGGCAGAATACAACTGAACTCAGATGTTCCTCCCTCCAGAACTCTGAGGCGTGTGTGTGTGTGCGCGTGCATGTGGCTTTACCCTGGTCCCAGCACCTGCAGTCACCACCCGCCCACCCTTGTCCTGGTCTCCTCTCCCCAGGGCTATGACGGGCAGGAGAAGGTCTACATTGCCACGCAGGGCCCCATGCCCAACACCGTGGCAGACTTCTGGGAGATGGTGTGGCAAGAAGAGGTGTTCCTCATCGTCATGCTCACACAGCTCCAGGAGAGCAAGGAGGTAGGAGGCACGCCCCGTCCTAGCCTGTGCACACACACACACACACACACACACACGGAGGCAGGAGGCACGCCCCAGTCCTAGCCTGTGCACACACACACACACACACACACACACACACACACACACACACACGGAGGCAGGAGGCACGCCCCAGTCCTAGCCTGTGCACACACACACACACACACACACACGCACACACACACACACACAAGGAGGCACACACAGTCCTAGCCTGTGCACACGCACACACACACACACACACACAAGCTCACACAGTACTAACACAGACATGCTCACACACACACACAGGCTCACACAGCACTAACACAGATGTGCACACACACAACACTAACACACACAAGCTCACACACAGACTTGTACAACACACACATGCTCTCACACAGTCATACAATACTAACACACACATACTCTCACACAAACTCATGCAACATACATACTCACACACAGACTCCCGTGCAGGCTCTTATGCATGCTTTCACGTGTCCATACACAGTCATACAAACTCACAGGCACACACAAGACCACATTCACATACTCACACAAACACACATACATGCTCACCCATGCACTCAGACCCACACATGTGCATTCACACACAACTCAGACACACACTGCACACACTCACATTTGTGTTTGCAAACATATCACACACACACATACGTGCTCACACACATATACTCAAACACACTTCTACCCACACAAAAACTCATATAAGCACTCACACGTGTGCACATGCTCACAATACATACACATGCATGATCACATACATGCTAACACGTTCACACAGGGCCACTGGGGACTTGGGCGTACCCTGGCAACTAGGAACACCAAGAGCAGCCCTCAATTCCGCTGCCTAGAGAGGCCCTCGACATGGGCCCCAGGGATGGCTGCCCACAGCCCACAACCCAAAAAAGGTTGAAGTGAGCACTGCGGGCTGCAGTGGCTGAGCCCACCCACACCAACCCAGTGCAGGTGGAAAATGGAAGGGACGCCCCAGTCTGACTCCCAGCCTCCTCCCTGCTAGAAATGCGTGCACTACTGGCCCACGGAAGAGGAGACCTACGGGCCCTTCCGGATCCGCACCAGGGACAAGAAGGAACATCCGGAGTACACAGTGCAGCATCTCACCATCCAGGTACAAGCCCGGGCTGGGCCAGGCCCCTCGCTCCCTGGTCCCATGCCCATCATTAGTGTTTCTGGAACTTGTGGAGAGGGGTTTTCTCATTGGAAGCTAGCCTGCCAGGCAGAGGCAACAGTGGAACCCAGCATGGAACACTGCCAGGCTACACTGATCCTCCAGGCAAGGACGGCGGGCAGTGCCCGATGAGCTGAAGGGATGAGAGAGGTGGCGAGAGAGGTGCAAAGGAGTTTCAGGGAACAGATGCTAAGGCACAGTGCACTAAGCTACCATTTGGGATGCCCACAGTCCATGTCTAGGGGCCTAGTTTGAGTCCCAGCTGCTCCACCTCCATTCCAGCTCCGTACTAATGTGCTTGGGAAGGTAGTGGAAGATGGCCTGAGCATTTGGGCCCCTTCACCCACATGAAAGACCCGGATGGAGTTCCTGGCTCCTGGCTTCAGCTGGCTCAGGCCTGACTGTTGTGGCCATTTGGGGAGCAAACCAGCAAATGAAAGGCCTTTCTGTGTCTCTCCCTTTCTGTCACTCTACATTTGAATACCTAAATTAAATTTTAAAAGGCACTGCAAAATGTTTCTGTTACTGTTTAGTGTCTCTTAATTTCCAAAGCATGTTAACTCATTTTCCTCCAAGTATCCTGGGAAATAGACCAAGATACTACTGGCTTTAAAAAAAAAAAAAAAAAAAACTATTAATATGAAAGGCACTAGCTAGGGCTGGACCAGAGCTGGGAGCCCAGAACTCACCCCAGGTCCCCCATGTGGCACGGACACAACCACTTAAACTATTCCCCTGTTGCCTGCCAGGATCCATGATAGCAGGAAGTGGAGCCAGGACTCAGGATGCCACGTGGCAGCGTCCTGATCGGCATCTTAGCTCATCCGTGAACCCAGACATCCACTTTCCAAGTGAAGAGTGTGAGATTGAGGGACTGGTCATGTACCTGCTGTGGGCAGAACCAGGACCTGCACAGCGCCCCTTCCCTTTCCCAGGACGATGGTCTCCAGCGTTGGGAGTGGGGGGTCAGTGCTGGTGTATGAGAGGCAGGGAAGTTGGCCTCGCCTGCTCTGAACCAAGGGAGTAACTGCAGACCCAAAGGCAGCCATACCCTGATCCAAATCTCACACCTGTGTCCACTCCAGTGCCAGCAGGAGTGCCGGCAGGTGAAGCACATCCTCTTCTCAGCCTGGCCCGACCACCAGACCCCGGAGTCGGCTGCGCCCCTGCTACGCCTGGTGGCCGAGGTGGAGGACAGCCCCAAGACAGCCGGCAAGACAGGGCCCATCGTGGTCCACTGCAGGTGCACGGCCTTTCCCCTCCCACGTGCCTCTCTTCCAACCCCACTTGTGCAGAACCCAGACATCAGGGCTGGACCCCAGGCCTAGGCCACCAAGGAAAAGAGGGTAGGGGTGTCCAGAGGGCCAAGGTCTGCTGGCAAAGACAGGAGATGAGACAGTGACATACAGCAGCCTTCAATGGGCGCTAGGACAGTGTGGCAGGGGGCATACAGAACCAGGTCGCCTAACTCAGACCTGGGGTCCAGGGCAGGCTCCCCAGGTGGGGAAGGACTTCCAGGTAATGCTACGATTGGAAACGCACATCAGACAAGTGACAAGAGAACTGGGAAGGTAATTCAGGCCGGGGACATAGCACATGCCAGTGCCAGGGGAAGAGATGTTAACACAAGGACATTGCTGGCAGCGAGGACAGGGGCTGGGCCTGCAGGTCAGGTCTAAGGATCAGAGAGGAACATGGGAGACAAGAGAGAAGGCAGGAGGGTACGGAGCCTGACAGGGTGGGCAGAGATGGACTGGGATGGAGTGGCCAGCATGTGGTGTAGGGGGCAAGACTAGAACACAGCAGCCCCTGTTGGAGCACCAAGCAAGCGTTAGCTTCATTCAGCTCAGCCGGAGGCCTTGCTGGAGAAGGAGTGGCCCCAGCTCCCTGGTGACAGTTCCCCCACCCTGTCCCTGGCTGTGTCCAGTGCAGGGATCGGCCGAACTGGCTGCTTCATCGCTACCCGGATTGGCTGCCAACAGCTGAAGGCGCGAGGGGAAGTAGACATTCTGGGCATCGTGTGCCAACTGCGCCTAGACAGGTGAGTCCATAGGCACCGGCCCACCACAAGGGGCCCTGGTGCCGCCTGGCATTGGTGGGGCATGGCTGGGCTGGTGCCACAAGCAAAGCCAGGGGCCACGCTTGCTTCAAGAGCTGCTTGGTAGCACAGCTGACACCTACGAAAGTATTTCCAGTTGGATTTTGAGCCTGGGAGTGGGGGCCTAGAATTAAGGGTGTCCTCTGTGCGTGTACCCTGAGCCTCCCAGCTTTTCCCCCGTCCAGTCCCCTAGAAGAGGTTGTCTCCAGATCCAGTCCTGAGCAAAAGCGGGGGTGGGAGAATCAGAGGCAACAAGGTATCAAAAGCACAGAGGTCAGCCAGCTGAGAAAGTCAAGGCTCTCCTGAGGGGACACTGGGGGTGCCTGCCTGAGCTGCTAAGGACTGTCGGGCCCACGCCCTTGTGCTTCTGCCTACAGAGGGGGCATGATCCAGACAGCTGAGCAGTACCAGTTCCTGCACCACACTCTGGCGCTGTATGCAGCCCAGCTGCCCGAGGAGCCCGGCACCTGACCCCTGCTCTCCACCCCACCCCCAGCTGCCTGGGCACCCACTGACCCTGGGCCTCCAGAGATAGCGGGCCATGTGCTCTGGAGACACCCTCCCACGCCAGCACCACCATGCTTACTCAGGTCATCGGAAAATGCATCAGCAAGGATGCGGGCCTGGACTCCTAGCCTTCAGACACTGGCTCTCCTGGGCTTCCTCCAGCAGCCCCAAATGGATAATAATGAACTTGACCATAGGAACTGGCACTTAGGACAGCCTCCACAGCCCACTGTCGCTGGCTTCTCTGAGATGCTCTTTGCCCATGACGTGGACGCTAAGTGCTGTTGTCATCAGGGAAAGCCATCAGAGAAGCTTCCAGAATCCATCTTGGCTGTACCCCTTCCTGGGGTGGGCAAGGGGGTGACTCCAAGATCAGCTCTCCTGGCAAGCCTTGTCTAAGCTCAGGCCAGGTGCCAGGGTGGGGAGAGTCAGGTCCTGACCTCAAACTCTCGACAGCCTGCATGGCTCTCAGCTCCTGGGTTCAGTGGGGCTCTACTCAGTAGACAGGAAGGATCCTGCTGCCCCTGCTTCTATACCTTCACCAAGCAAGGAAGCCAGGGACAGAGGTGACCAGGCCTGGTTGTTGAAATCTCTGCAACAGGGAACTTGTGGGAACTATGAGAGGCCCCGGGGGCTGCCCAGGCCTCTGTAATTGCCAGCCGATTACCCCAACTCTTTGGGAAGGTCCAGCACGCTCTAAGTGGCATTCCACAGCCTCAGCAGGTGTCCTGGGTACCAAGGAAGGACAGAAGACAGCAGGGAGTGAACAGATAGCCCAGGGCAGTCTCAGACAAACAAGGACTGTCTCTACCCTGATGGTGCACCTGTTCAGCCTGGCTGGGCCCAGAGCAATCCAGACACAACCATTCCCACGAAAGGGTTCCAGTAAAAAGAGGACCCCCCTCCCCCGCCGCCACCTCCTACTTAGAGATTCATACTTCTGGTCCACCTCCCAGTGGCACAATCTCCAGGCACTCCAGATCTTCATTGAAACCAAACCCACTCCTCCAGAAAGGCACCCACACACCTGTTCCTGCCCAGAGCTCAGGCCGGTCTAGAGGGAAGCAGCTGCAGGGCCCTACCCTCTCCTCTCCGGAGCTGTCCCCCGCCCTGCTCCTCTACTCAGAGAACAAAGTAACCAACAAGGAGAATAAAGACTGGGGGATGCCCAATGCTCCCTTCTCTCCTTTCAGCTGCTTCACAGACCTCAGGAACCTGGGGGTAGCCATGCAGAGAGCCCCACCCCACACACCAGGACAGGCTGGGAGTCTTTTCCTCCAGGCACACCAGTCAAAGTGAAGAGAACTTTGGGTAGCTGGATGGCTACATATTGTCTTAACCTGTTGAGGCCACCCAGCCCCAAACGCCCAAACCTGAGGGCTGGAACACTCATCTGTAACCATCTGTAACTGGCTGGGAGAGTGGTACCTGCTGAGTCAGGGCAGGGAAAGCCCATGGCTCACAGATAGAACCTTCTCAATTCTCTCTCTCTCTCTCTCTCTCTCTGTCTCTCGCTCTCGCTCTTGCTCTCTGTCATTTGTAAGGTAGGAGGGATAATCCCTTTGAGGACCTAATCTCCTCCTATCACCTTGCAAGATTACATTTCCAGCAGGTGAATTTGGGGAGGGACACAAATACACTACACCCTGGAGTTAGAGAGACTTATTTTTTTGAAGATTTATTTGGGGCCCAGCGCAATGGCTTGCTGGCTAAATGCTCCCCTTGCAAGCACCAGGATGCCAGTTCATGTCCTGGTTTCTTTCCACTTCCCATCCAGCTCCCTGCTTGTGCCCTGGGAAAGCAGTCAAGGATGGCCCAAAGCCTTGGGACCCTGCACCCACATGGGAGACCTGGAAGAAGCTTCTGGCTCCCGGCTTTGGAACAGCTCATCTCCGGCCATTGTGGCCACTTGAGGAGTGAACCAGCAGATAGAAGATCTTTGTGTCTCTCCTTGTCCCTGTAAATCTGCCTTTCCAATAAAAATAAATGAATCTTTTTTTAAAGAGACTTATTTATTTTTAAGGTAGAATTTTACCAAGGAAAAGACAGACAAATCCCATCTGCTAGTTCACTCCCCAAATGGACTGGCTGGTCCAGAGCCAGGAGCTTCCTCCCGGCCCCCCATGTGGGTAGAGCTCTCCAGGACATCCTCCCAGGCACATTAGCAGGGAGCTGGCCTGGAAGTGGAGCAGCTGGCACACCTATTGCAGGTGGTAGCAGGTTATCCCCACTAGGCCACAACACCAGCTACCCTGGAAAGGGGACCCCAAAGGACAGCTACTGGAGTTTGTTAACTGGCTCCTGACCCCAGGGCTTCCTGACTGCTCCTCTTTCGGACCCGTTGGATCACTGGACCAGCTCAAGAGGGCATGGCTGCACGCCTGTCCCTTCAGTTCTCCAGCTGCAGGGAAGTTGGCTTGGTCAGGGCGGCTCCCGCGGGGGTTTTGTGCGCCCTGCCACAGGTCCAGACCCTGTCTCACTTCGGGGTCGGGTATCACTGGTGACGCTGGCTCGGGGAGCAGCACCCCAGGAATGCTCAAAGGCACGCGTTTGGGGACAAAAAGCCTCGGCCGCCTCCCTTTAGCGCTCCTCCCTCTTCGCTTTCTGGACACGCGTGGGGCGGCCTGGAAGGGCTCCTGCCCGACCGCACCTCGTCCACCGGGAGCCCATCGCCCTCTACCGAAGCAGGAGGTGCAAGCCAGGACGCGAAGACAATCATAGTTCCGCCCTTTCTCCCCGCGTCCCCCCACCCCACGGAGCTGGCTTGCCCGTCAACGCCCACCCACCCACCCGCGGGCGCCCGGGCGGCTCCGGGCGCGAGAGGAGCGCGCGCTCGGGCGCGAGCAGGACGCGGCCGGGCCGCGCGGGAGGGCGGCGGCGGCGACGGAGGAGGAGGAGGCGCCGAGGCCACACCCATCGGCGAGCGGATCCGGGGCCAGCGAGTCGTCGGTCGCCGCGCTCCAGCCTCCGCCCGCACCAAGCAGCGGGACCCGAGCCGCACGGGGAGGGGCCGCTCCGGGCCGCAGCGCGAGGCCAGCGAGGGGCTGCGGGGACCCGGCACCGGGCGGGGCCGGCGGCGGCGACCATGATCGCTTTGTTCAACAAGCTCCTGGACTGGTTCAAGGCCCTGTTCTGGAAGGAGGAGATGGAGCTCACGCTAGTCGGGCTGCAGTACTCCGGCAAGACCACCTTCGTTAACGTGATCGCGGTAGGTGGGCCGGGACTGGGTCTGGGGTTCGCGCGTCTCCCACCCGCGCCGCACCCTGGGGCGTCCGGAGAGCCGCCTGGCTTGGCCGGGCACGGCCGGGCGGGGGAGGAGCTGACCCGAGCGCTTGGGGCCTAGCACGGCCCGTAGTGGAGCCCGGGCATCGCGCGCCCCGCCGTTCTGCCCGGGGACGGGATGGCACTGCCCGGGGCGGGCAAGGGGCGAGCCAGGAAAACAGGGCTGGTGTCCCTAGAACCGCCGGAGCCAAGGGGCTCAGCTGCGGGGAGACACCCTCCCTCAGGCCCCCGGCTCATCAAGGGGCATGACAGAGCGAAAGTGCTCTGGGGCCTGCTGCTCCAGCTGCTGGGTGGGGGGGCTTCAGGGGGTACCCTGGACCGCTTGGGGTGGTGCCCCACCCCGAGGCTTTAACCCCTGCTGGCCTGAAAGAGGAAGCCTGGGCCCTATTGAGGGAGTGGGGGAGGGAAAAGTCCCCAGGGGGCAGAAGAGTCAGCTGAGGCGCTTGGCTGTAGCCCAGACTCCTCCCCCAACAACCTCTCCCCTGCCAGCTCGGGGTCCTGGAGCGGTGGGCCTGCCACGGAGGGAGTGCACGGACTCTGTCCTGCCCCAGAAGTTGCGGAGGGGAGGAGGAAGAGGAGGAGGAGGGGCCCTAGGCCCAGAAGATTAGGGACAAAGTGGCACGAGGGTGCATGTGGGTGAGGGTGTTCCAATGGTAACTGGGCCTGGTGAAGGAAGAGTTAAAAAAATCTGCCTCTAAAAAGGGGAAGAGGAGCTGCTGGGGTGTGAGGTGGCTGCGGCCTAGCTTTCCCAGCTGGGTAGGGCCAACGGCTTCAGGCTCCTAGGGCCCAGGAAGGCTGGGGTCGGAGGCTCTGGTTGTGTGGGGACCTGGCCCCATCCCAAAGCTGGGGTGTTTGCAAGAACATGAGAGAAGGGAGCACGGTCGGATACCACCTGCCTGGGCCTTGCAGGAGGGGCCTTCCGGAGAGGGCGGGGCCTTGTCAGGGCCTGGGCTGAGGGGAGACTGGAGTCTGGAGGGGCCGGCATCCCACGGTCATGGTCATGGTCACGGGATGACCCCTGCCTGCTCTTCCTCCCATATCTGCTGACCCCTGGCCAGACAGGAAGCATCGGCAGGCCCTCACTGAGGTTTGAGACATGAGGATTTCCTAAGCCAACATCCGCCCCCGGGGTCAAAGCCTGCCCCTGGTTAGAGTAAGCTTAGGGGCTCCCAGAGCAGTCAGGCACCCATTCTCCAACCTGGTTTTGCCAAGCCTGGGTGGCTGGGCTTCCGGGCACACTACCAGGTCTGCGAGAAGCCTCTAGTTAAGGCCAAGGAGAAGCGACTGCTCTGCTGTGGCCCAGCCCCGATCACCTCTTGTCCCCCAGGAAACAGTGGGCGCCTTGAAACAGTGCACCTGGGCAGGTGGGCTAGGTTGGACAGGAAGTCTGTCTCCAAGCATCCCATCTTGCCAGGGCCACTGTTGATGGGCAAGGGGCAACTCCTCTCCAGCCCCCCCAGGCAGTTGGTCCCTTTTTAAATAGGAAACTGGTGACTTTAGCTGGCACGACCTTGAAGGGCAAGTCAGTTTCTTTCCGCCAAAGACAACCTTGCCCTTGATGGGAGTCTTAGAATTCCAGCATCCAGGTAACTCCTGGGGCTCCCACAGTCACCGGGGCGCTCACGCTGCCCCTGCCGCCTACCCCTTGTGTCAGCACAGTTAGAGGGGCTTCCAGAAAGAAATCAAGACTCAGGACCTCTGGGCTCAGTTCCCAGGCTTACCCCGACTCTGCATCACCTCTGCCTGGTCACGTGGCCTCTGTCTCAGCTGCTTCCCTTCCTGGGTTTTCTTTTGCTCACTCTGGGCGGGTCTAGCTGTCCCTGAAAGCTGCTTTTCATGTTGTCTTGCTGCTCAGCAGGTGCATGTGAGCTGGTAAGGAATTGTGTAGACCTGCCATTGCTTCGAAGCACCTAAGAAGCTGGTCTTTTGAATTCCTGAAGAGTTGTGATGCATGTGGAACCGTGGGAAGCAAGAGGCAGTGCTAGATAATAAAAGAGGCGAGGACTTATCTGTGGCAGGACTCGTCCTAGGGTGCCTCAAGGGACTTAGGATGCAAGTTATGAGAAGGTGGGGTCTTGGTTCATTGTGGCGGACTTCTGTGAAGTTGGAAGAACACGAGATGGAACAGGCGGGTACGTTCCCCAGCACTACCACGTGTGGACAAGGTCAAGTCCTGCCTTGATGGCACAACTCAGTGGGAGCGACTGGTACCGGGGAGCCCTGGAGGTCCTCCCTGTGGCCCCCCAGGTTAGGGCTGGGGACAGCGGGGTCACTTACCTGGGAGCAGTGGTGGGTCCCTGTGCCAGAGAGGACGAAGGTCTTAGCTGAGCTCCTCGGGATCAATGATGCTGTGCTATCAGCCAGCCTGGCTGTAGAGGGTGGCCAGGGATGGCATCCTGCTGGGGCTCTGGGGGACTGTACTGTCCCACCCCATCCCACCCCCCACATACACACCACTTGTGGTTGCTCAGTGGTTCCTAACCTCTGGGGCAACCTTGCCTTCTTGGTATTTGAGGAGATCTACAGACCCTCCCCCTGCCCCGCCCCTGACAGACCCTGAGGAATGCTTGGCGCCTTCTCCAGCTGTGACTGGAAGATCTCGGGGCAGAGGAGAGGATGGCTAGGTCACTCTGTACCGAACACATCCACACATTTTCCCTTGGCCTTCCAGGAACAACACGGAACGGCCCCTGAGGACAGCCTTCACTGATGTTTAGTCTCAGGCGGAAGCTAGGGCTGATGTCAGGTGCACTCACAGGAGGGTGTGCCATCCGCACAGCTACCAGCCCTTGTGTCCGGGGATGTGTCTCTGGATCCTGTGATCCGAGGGAAGCCCAGGACAGGGGGCCCTGAGAGTCACAGGTATCGTGCCTAGGCAGGGTTGAGGAGGCTGGGGAGCCCTGCAAGCCACAGGTGCATCCCAGGCTGGGCATGCCTCCTGTTGTACATCAGCCACAGGTGCCCAGTGCCCAGCGGACACATGTGCAAATGTCCAAGTGGCACCCCGCCTCTCCATGGAACCTCAAGTGGATGGTGCCCACACCTGGCAGAGAACAGGTGGGGATGAGGTGGGTAGGGAAGCCCCATCTCCTTCCGCCCACTTCCAAGAGAGGGGGAGCATGGAGAAGGCCTGGGCAGGTGTAGGGCGTGGCCCGATGTGAAGCCTGCGGTCCGGAGCCGTCTGGAGACCTTAAGGACAGTTCAGAGGGGACAGGCAAACAGCACTGGAATGTGAAAATGAGTGGAGCCAACACAGACTGTGCTTATCTCCAGCAGCAGCTGCCAGCTCAGGGGCAGATCCCAGCGAGCCCACGAGAGCATCCCAGGACTGGTGGGCTGGCCTTGGCCTGGGGGGTGGCCAGTTCCCACCTGACTGCTTCCCCGTGACCTTCAGACCTGCGCCTGCGTGGGACTGTGTTCCTGGGAGGGGGTTGGTTCCTCTCTCCCTAGCAGAAAGCTGGAGGCTGGACCTGGGGGAGGTGACCAGACAGGACCTTGGTGAGTGACACGCCCTATGGGGGGACTGGGGTCCCTGAGTCTCCTCGCTCCTCTCTGCAGTCCGGTCAGTTCAACGAGGACATGATTCCCACCGTGGGCTTCAACATGCGCAAAATCACCAAAGGGAACGTCACCATCAAAGTGAGGACTGGGCCGGGGTCGAGGGGTGGGCGGGTGCTGGAGGAGCATCCCTGGGGCTGGGGGGAGGCGCTGACCAGGTAGGGGAGCTCCTGGGAGGAGGGAGGAAGAGCCGCCTGCCGCCTGTGAAGCCTTCTCGTCCTTTTCTGCCTCAGCTCTGGGACATCGGGGGACAGCCCCGGTTCCGCAGCATGTGGGAACGCTACTGCCGAGGGGTGAGCGCCATCGTGTAAGTTCAGAGTGTCCAAGCCGCCTCTCCTGGCCCCCCCAGCCCATGGCCCTGCCCAGACTCACAGCGTTCACAGACAAGTGCACCTGTGCCTCCCCCCACCACAGACCCCCACCCCTGGCCTGGCCCAGGTTGCCCGCCCCCTCATTCCTTGAATTTGAGTGGTTTCAATGATTCCTTCGCTTTCTTTGGAAAACTGATGTTATTCCCCAAACAATGGGTGGTTTTGTTTTCCTGATACAATAGACAATAGACTTTTTTTTTTTTAAGCCTGATGTTTAGAAGTATCTTACTGCCAGAAAATATTCTGGGGATTCCTTTTTTTTTTTTTTTTTTTTTTTTTCCGTACACACCAACATTATCTAGACTTCCCAGAACTCATGAGAGGGTCACTTTGGGGAGTAGGGGAGTAGGGGAGGAGGGGAGTAGGGTGGAAGCCAGGAGACCCGGGAGGTAAGATGTGGGATGTGGCGGGTACAGGAGGAGTCACTGCGTGCAGTGTCTGACTCCCACCGATGCACCTGCCTCCAGCTAGGCCCAGCAAACTCTAGCTCCAAGAAGGGTCGGCTGTGCAGAGAGGTTTTCTGCCCCAAGCAGCAGCCTGGCTGCCTGTCTGCATGTGTGTCCCCGCCCTGCCCTTCCCCAGGTACATGGTGGATGCTGCTGACCAGGAGAAGATTGAGGCTTCCAAGAATGAGCTGCACAACCTCCTGGACAAGCCTCAGCTGCAGGGCATCCCGGTCAGAACCTGTGGTAGCTGGTGGGGCAGGGCCGGGGCATGCCGGGAGGTGGGGCAGGGCAAGGGTACAGAGAGCTATGCAGAGGAGGCAAAGAACGCGGGGCACCTGCAGCCCTTGTCAGCGTGCTGATTGGAGCCCCAGCTGCTGGGCTTCCAGTCCAGCTTCCCAGACATACATCCTGGGAAAAGCAAAGGACAATGGCTCAAGGGCTTGGGCCCCTGCAGCCCTTGTGAGAGCGGGTGGAGTTCTGGGCTCTGGGCTTTGGCATGGAGCTCAGCCCTAGGGTGCAGGCAATTGGGAAGTGAATCCATGGGTGCATGATCTTTCTCTCTGTCCTCTTTCTCTTCCTGTTTTTTCTCAAGTATCTAGTCATGTATATTAAAAAAAGTCTTCATCCTCCCTCATGTAGGTGTTGGTCCTGGGCAACAAGCGAGACCTCCCCGGAGCCTTGGACGAGAAGGAACTGATTGAGAAAATGTGAGTTTGGTGACGCCCTCTACTGCCTGCTCCCCAAATTCCACAGCCCCCCCACACCTGCGCCTGGAGGCTGGGTCTGTTGCTGTTCTCCGTGTTTGCCACATGGTGGCAGCAGAGCCCCACTCGCCCTATAGCTGCCCAGACACCATGATTAGGGTCCCACCCAGCCCCCTTGCCCACCCCCACGGCCGTCCTGGCCCCTGCGGACTCTACTCTGGCCTCCCTGTAGGAATCTGTCGGCCATTCAGGACCGAGAGATCTGCTGCTACTCCATCTCCTGCAAAGAAAAGGACAACATCGGTGCGTTGTTCTGGTGGGTAGGGAGGGGGGTGGGGTGGGGTCACTCCTGGAGGTGGCAGGTCAGTAGCTGGTTGATCTCCGGCTGCAGGAAGCCCAGCCAGCCACGCCCGGACCCCTGGGCATCCTGGCACACCCCCAGCATGCCTTATAAGCTTCTCTCCTATCCCCACCCAGACATTACCCTGCAGTGGCTTATTCAACACTCAAAGTCACGGAGAAGCTGAGACCGCAGCCCTCCTCCAGAACCCGGGACCGTGGTCATCAAAACCTGAAGCCGAGCTCCCTGCCCATCCCCCCATAGCCTCCCTCCCCCAAGCCCACCCCTCCTCATTCAGCATGGGGAGGGCTCCCGGGCTCCCAGAGCCCCATTCTGCTGAGATCTGAACTCCTGTTTTTATTGTAAAATAAGCTGTCCCTCCTCTCCCCACCCCCATTCTGGAGCCCTGGCCTGTTCCTTCCCAAATTGGCCACCCACCCCCTTTGCAGCCCTGCCTGCCCTGCCCCCCACTTCCCTTTGCCACTCTCTGTTAGTGTCCTGTGTGTACAGTATATATATGTATATATATTTTAATTTTTTAATTTAAGCAAAGACTAAAACCGACCATTTGATGCTGCAGGGGCCTCGTGGGATCGGGGAGGGGCGGCGCAGGTTGCCAAGGAAAAGCAAGTTGGGGGGTGGCCTGGGGCCCGTTCAGGCTGGGAAAGGGGGCGGCTGGCCCCATCCTGGGCATACCTGCCTTGGCCTGGCCTGCACCCATGCGGGAGCCTCTGCAGGCACCTCCTGCACCCTGCTTGGCCTTGGGACACTGGGGGCACCAATAGGTGCCAGAGCCCCAGCCAGGCCTAAGGGGCAGGAAGCCATCGTCCACTGTCCCCTCCCTTCCGTCTGGCCTGCCCCCACCCCCCTCCTGCCCCTCCCCAGGCCCCTCTGCCGCCTGCCTCAGTTCTGTTCTGTTTGCAGGGTTGTACAAGGAGAGAACTCAGCATGGGGGCTTGGCTCTTTGGGTTTTGTTTGTTTATTTGTTTTTAATTTAATGATTTGTAAAGTGATGGTCCTCTTCCTTTTTTTACACTTTTCAGCTCATATTTAACCTCTGTTTCAAAAAACGATTCTTGTAACTGTACATTTTTTTTTCCTCCTAATAACTACAGAAAAACAAAATAAACAACCGATTTTGTGTTGGGGGGTGTGTACAGTGACAGCTCTTATTCTATGGGTAGCAGGGATCGTCCAGCAGGGGTGGGGGACGCAGGCATGGCCATGGGGTCCAGGAACAGTGGGGATTGGGTCTGGGTGTGGTCTGGGCCAGGGTGGAGCAGGGATCCACTCCAGCCCTCAGCTTCTTTCCTTCCCTCAGGCAAGAGAGTTCACCTGCAGCCTGATGGGGCAGAAACAAGAACCCCATTCATGAGCCCAGAACCAGTTAACAGTCATTACGCTCTGGGGGGCTATGCCCTGTCAGAGCCCACCCTCACTCCTTGCCACTGCCTGCTCACTCGCAGCGAAGCCATCTTGACCCAGTTTGCAAGGAAGCCCCGCCTCCCTCGCTCATTCACCCCTTCATCCTGGAAAATGGAGCAGGCCCCCCCCCAGAACACCCATCACCGTCACTGCAGGAAGAAGGAACTGCTGGTCCCTTCTAGGGTTGGGATGCCAGCACTCCGTGCCCTCCCAGCCCCTTGCCCACTGCCCAGGGCCAGTTGCCCAGCACCGGAAGAGTCTGTGGAAAAATCGTGGCTGGAGGTTGCCAGCCGGAGCCATGTGACTGCAGTACCTTCCGCCTGTGCCCGCCTGGTGGCGGAGGCTGTGCCCTCCCCCGTCTGCCCCTGGCCCTGGAGCCCTGGATAGGACCCAGGGCCGGCTCAGCATGGGTGCAGCCAAGGACCTAGCTCCCTATCACAGGTCCTGGTGACACCCACAGCCTGCATGCAGCAGGCACCTGCCTGGGCTCCACGCCCTTGTCCGGGAGTAGGCTGGCACAGGTTAAATCTCAGCATGGGTATTGGGGTTAGGAGGGGACTGGGGTGATTGCCTCAAGTACTGGAGAGGCTGGGGACTGAGGGCTGCTCCCCAATCACTTAGCACCAAGGCCTGGGCCCGGGTCCCTGCTGCCTGCCGCCAGCAGAGTGTGTGTCAGTGCCGCCTCCTCTGAACATCCACATTCAAGTCCACCACCCGCCCCTGAGCCAGCACCGCCCCCTCCAAGCCCAGGACCCCTGAGCAACAAACACCGCATTGTCCCCAGCTGCTCTGGCTGGGGGAACAGTGGCTCTTTCCAAGGCCCGCTTGGCCTGTTGACTGATCCTGCGGGCCGTCCACATTGGCAGACTTGCCTGGGTAGACAACAGGGATGGCGCAGCTCTGAGCCGACCAGCCAGCAGGAGGAAGGATGGATGGGGGTGCCCTTTGTAGAGAGGCCCCCCAAACAGGATGCAAAGGCGTCCCCTCCCCTGCTCCCAAGCTCCCATCCTCAGCTGTTCCCTGTCCTGGCCTTCACCTCGGTTCACCCCAGTCCCTCCCCACTTTCTGGTACATCTAGGTTTGGGGGAGGGGAGCAGAGAGGGAGCAGCCCTGATGGCTCCAAGGGGCAGCCCTGGGGTTCTCTCCAACCAGCCTCCTCCCCTGTTGAGCGGTGGAGCTGGGGGCTCCAGTCGCTGTGGCAACAGGTCTGCTGAGAAGTGGGTGGGTGTCATTCCCAAACGCAGAGCCTGTGCGCATGGCAGCGCCGTCACCTAGCAACAGCCTCCTCGCTTGCCATCACCCAGCCCTCGGGGTGGGTGCCAGGGAGAGAACAAGGCTGCTAAGATCTCCAGGAGGGGCAGAGGGAGTCTGAGGCCAACGGGCGTGGGTGGGTTGGCCGGTGGGGGGACAGTGGAGAGTGGTGCCCTGGGCACTCTGGGCCCCCTGTGTCTTGCCTATCCCTGCCCCACCCCCAGGCTGGAGCCTTCTGAAGAGAGGCCCCATGTGCGTGGCCAAGGCAGGCCTGGGGGGTAGAAGTCGGGTCCTGGAGCAGAGCTGCCCTGGGGAGGGTGACTGGGCAAGTGCAGCCGATGGCCATGGGGGAGGCAGCCCATCTGGTTGATGTGGTGCCAGCTTCTCAGGAACCCACGGGGCTAAGCAGCAGTTGGAAGGAGCCAGAGGAGAGCAAGAAAGTGGGGCTTCAAAGGGTAGACCAGCAGGAGGAGCTGCAGGGTCTATGGGGGAGGTAGAGTGGGGAGAGAGCTAGGCAGAGGCTGGGCAGCTGTGGGGGAGGAGAGCAGGCAGGGGCTGGGCAGCTGGGCTGTGTGCTAGCAAAACAGGCAGCCTAAGAAACAGGAAGAGCAGTGCTCGAGAGGGGCTGGAGGCAGAGAGAGCGGGGGCTTGAATGGGGGCTTTGTGGAGATAAGGTACGATTGAGCCTGCTGCTGCGACACAGCCCAGCAGCCTGCTGGCTTTGGGGAGCATGGAGTTAGGTCACAGGGAGGGCTTGCTCACCCTGCTCCCCAAGCCTCTCTGTTCTCTCTGGCCTTCCAAAGCCCCCAGGGGACCATGGTGGGAGGCCAAGGCATGGGTGGGCAGCGCCAGGGTGAGTCAACCTAGTTTATTGAGGTTGTGCAGGGCCTTCGAGAGAGAAAGCACCTGGCAGGCGAGGCCAAGCGGCCCCCAGGGGAAGGGAGTGAGTTCTCCATGGCTGGGTCAGGAGACCTCCACACCGGAAGTTCCCCATTGTAAGATGGAGCCCTGATGTGGGGTAAGGAAGGAGACTTGAAAAGGGCTCAGTTAACACAGTACAGGAGTAGGGGCTTGGGGCTGAAATCAGGGAGGGCAGGTGAAGTACGGGCTCACACTGGTGGGACTAAAAGCTTCCACAGAGTTCTTGGGACCCAAGAGACATCACCACTCACCCACGGAGGCCCGGCTTGGGGAAAGAGGAGACAGGAGGAACCAGGGACCCACCGTGGACAGCAAACCCAGAAGATAGCCAGTTGCCCACCCCTCTCCCCATACCAGAGGTCTGGCCTCAGCAAGGCGTGCCCAGGGGTGGAGGCGGGGATGACTCCCTGGGTTGGTGGAAGTGGATGGAGGAGGACACCTCGGCCTTGAGCTTGTCGGAGCCGGAGCCGCTGGGCGCTGGGGCCTCAGAGATGCCTGCGCACTCGTTGCAGCAAGAGCAGCAGCAGCAGCAACAGTCGAGAAAAACCTGGCCCAGTGGCCTGCAGACGCACAACAGCAGCACGGGCGTAGCGGCGCCCTTGCAGAAGAGGGAGAACTGGTTGACCAGACCCAGCAGGCCCAGCGTGTGGCGGGGGAGCTCAGTGGAAAGGTAGGCCACCACAACGTTGCACACATTCTCGGGCAGCGTGCACAGGGCGTAGACCACCGTGAGCCCCACCACTGTGCGGTTAAGCTGGCTCTCACACTGCTCGTGTTTGCCGGCCCTGCACTCCGGCCCGCGCCTTGGCGGAGGGCCCCGCACTCGCCATGTCACCAGCTGGCAGGTGACCGTGAAAAGGATGGGCAGACAGAAGTAGCAGCCGAAGTACCACCACATACGGGCATTCTGATAGGTCAACACCAGTGAGTACAGGGACTCAGGCAAGCTGGCTGACGGTTTCATGACGCACGAGTCCTCGGGGTCCATGGCCAGGCTGGGCTCCTGCGCCAGCTGCCACAGCAGCAGCTCAGGCACAGCCAGGGTCATGGAGCCTACCCAGATGACAGCCAGCTTGGCCACAATTGACTGGCACCGTTCAATGGGCCTCACCTTGGGCAGTGTGCTGGTGGCTACGTGGAAACGGTCAATGCCCAGGGCACACAGGCTGAAGGTGGTGACTCCGAGAGAGGATACCTGTGGATAAAGTGGAGGCCCCCAGTCAGACCCCGGCTCTGGCTCAGCAAGATGCCAGCTGAGTGATAAACATAGAAACGCTGGTGAGCATCTTCTACACAGACCCTTGGCCAACCCAGGGAGATACTGAACCCTGGAGCTGGACATGGCACACGTGGCCCCTGGGCACCCCTCACCAGGTCCCTGCAGCTCCAGGGAGGGTCAGGGCAGGGGGAGATGCACCCTGCTGTGTGTGTTAGCCTGGTGGATGCTCCTGGGGAGTGTGGTTCTCACATACACACCCGTACACGCATCCCCATACACATGCATATACCTAAACACATATAACCATATGTTATAACCATATAACACATACAACCAGTTTACACACACATATACTCACACACTTATTCACAGCCATACGTGCACATGCACACCCATATAGACATACTTACACTGTCAACCTTGAGACACACCTAAACACACTCATGCATGCTTACACGCCCATGAACATACCCATTCACCCTCACACACTCAGACACCTGCCCATACATATACTTGCAGTCCTAAATACTCAACACATACAGGCACACTCACACCATGCACACATACTCCTACACACATTCACACACGTATCTACTCACACGCACACTCCCATAAGCACAGTCGTACTCACACAGACACCTGCACACATTCACATGTACTCTCTCACACGCATACATGGTCACGCACACATTCACACCCATACACACTCCTACACACATGCACTGTCACACTCATACACCCACACTCACACTCCTTGCCCTGAATAGTCCCCGCTCCCCACAGCAGCCTGAGCCCATGGCCCCACACCCCAGGCCCCAAACACAGGAAGATCCCTGGGAGCCCGGAGGAAGAGGCCAGAGCAACAGGGAAGAGAGCAGAGCAGAGAAGGTGCCAGCCACCACGGAGCTCCCAGAGGATGCCCAGGCACCCTGGGGACAGAGCAGACAGACCCCTTAGCACAGCGCCCCTAGGAGCTCGGCCAGCCTGTGTCCTTTGTGGAAGTCCAGCTCCCATCTTGGCAGAGAATCCACCTGCAACCCCAGGGCAGAATCGCCAGTCTCTCCGGGGTTCTGCTCCACCCTGCCTTCCCCACTGCCTCCAGAGGACACCCTGAAACCCTCCCCTAGGCAAGATTTGGGTGCAACATGTCTTGTCCCCTCCAGGGATGGCTTGGCCAGCCTGTGGGTCATCTCTGTCCTTCGGGGGCACAGAGCAGGTGGCCTGGGAGACCTGTCGTGACCCTCAATCCTTGACCTCCTAGCCACGTGCAAAGGGAGTTCTTACCTGCTCTCCACCCCTCCTGAGGACCCCCACCAAGTGTACACCAACCTCCGTTCACTTCCTCTCTCAGCACCTTCTAGTTGTGACCCAGGGAATTCTTCAAGAAACTGTTTATACATTGCTGTGACAATCATCATTCATTCCAACTTACAAATGAGCAGACAGCCTTGGGCTGGCTCTGGGACTCACCAAGGCCATTCAGCCAGGAAAGGACAAAGCCCACTCCCTGAGTCAGTCTGCCAGGAGCCCTCTGGCCTCCTGGGCTGTGAACAGGACTGGACAAAGACCCAAGGCTATCCCCTCATCAGCTGGAGTCCCTGGGGGTTACTTGGGTTGGGAAGGGAAGGCCAGATCCAGCTGCTGAGTCAGACCGAGCACCAAATCACAGTGAACAGCAGGGACAGAGCTGGGAGCAGGACCTGTGTCCCAGCACCTCACCTTGACGCCGTCCCAGCCAGGCAGGTCCCCCACATTGTGCAGAGGGACCCCAGAGTGGCAGCAGCCTTCATGGGGAGACCACGGCCACTACAGCCCTCCTTGCCGGCCCACAGAGCCAAAGTGCCCGATACCATTTGTTTTCCTGAGTTCTTACAAACGGAGCCCGTGTCTTGCCTCCTTGCACACACACACACACTGGGGTGTTTATGTCAGGCTTTGGTGAAGGCATTTCCGTGGTGTTCCCGTTAGCATGGATGTCCCCAGAAAGGAGGGTGCAGTGGGAAATGCTGGGGGTCACAGAACGAACAGACTACAAGCACCATCTGGTCTACCCCATTGGGGAGCCAGGGAAATTGGAAGGAGAGACGGGAGTGCCAGGGACAGCTTGTGGGTCAGTGAGAGTCCAGCCTGGGTCTACCCAGTCAGGAAGGAGTGGGAACTGCTGATGGGCAGCAACGCGAGGTGGAAATCACAACAAGGAAGGCTGGGAAGGATTTTCCCCTCCGGTAAATGGCGCACACATGGGGTCTGGGTGCTGACTGCGGAGGGGAGGGACCATGGAAAGTGGGAACTCCCTTTGGGGAGGCAGGAGACCTGGCCGATGTGGGAGAATGGGCACACAAAGGGCAGAGGGATTTCCTCGGGCAAGCACAGGGCAGGGTGGAGGTGGTTGGTGGGAGCAGGTGCAGCTCAGGGCCTAGACAAAGGGGAGCTCTACAGCGGGGTCGTTCCCAAAGCAGGAGACCTGGCAAGGCTGCAAGGCTGGGTGCCTTGTGTACCTGGTCATCAGGGTCACCTGCTCCCAACAGCCACCACGGCCTCCCTGGTGGAGGCACAGGAGCGACCCTGGGGCTGGCCCAGCCCCCAGCCACTCTCGCTACCCAGAGTCTGTCCCTGCACTGCAGCCCCACACTCACCTCCAGAAAGGGCACGGCCCGACAAGAGACGTCTCCCAGCAGCCTCTGCTTGGTGAGCTCATTGAAGATAACGATCGGCAGGCAGAAGAAGAGGACCAGGAAGTCCCAGAGGGCCAGGCTGGCAAGGATGGAGTTCCAAGCACTCTTGAGGTAGTAGCTGTGCCACACGATGCACATGACTGACAGGTTGCCCACGATGCCCACAGCAAACAGCACCAGGGCCAGGAGCAGGACAGCGTAGGCGCCATAGGACCTCTCGGTCACTGGGTACAGCGGGTTCTGAATGCGTAGCCTCTGGCCCGGCATTCCCGTCAGATTGCCCCTCAGCCCCTGCCCACTGCCTGGCTTGGGGCTGGTGGCCCCTGGGGGCTGGGAGGGCTGCAGGCTCGCAGGATGGATGGGCCGGGGGTACTCAGACCATTCCTTGGGTACATAGTGCTGCACGCCCTTGGTGTCCTCATCCTCGGCGCCCCTCTTGTCTCGGCTCTGCTGACCCTGGGCCTGGGCTCCGTGCCCACCCGAGCCCCTGCTCAGGCCAGTGGCCAATACCGCAGTGAGACAAAAGGCCAAGGGCCACAGCCAGCGCATGGCAGAATGGAGCAGGAGGCAGCCACTGCCCGGGGAGGGAGAGCAGGTGTGGAAAGGGCAGAAAGCGCTGGGCGGAACAGAGAGAGGCAGCTGGCAGCCGGATCCACCCCCAAGTCAGGCGTCTGCCTTGGCCAGCCTTCTCTCCCACCCTACTGGCCACAGGCAGGGCAGGGCCCTCTGCTGGACACTGAGCCGTCTAGCTCTTCCTCCCCAGTGTGTCTTCTCTGGGGCAGCCCAGGTTACAGAAAGCCCTCCACAGGCCACAGAAACCAGGGAAGAAAGGAGACCATCCAGGGTGTCCCGATAAGGCACGGGCAAAGCCAGTACTAGGATGCAGGTGTCCTGTCTGCGCCTGAATCGAGGCAGTGCCTACCTTCAAAGTCAGCTGGTGATTATCAGGATTGATGAACGCCTTCTAGGTGCTAGCACCCATGCTGTTTTCTCAGGGATCACTCCCCCACCTAACTCCCCACACACCGACAACATTCCCAGTTTACAGATTGGAAAGCTGAGATCTGTAGAGTTCAGCTGCTTGCCACACTGCTGACGTGAGGTGGAGACAGGCCCACACTGGTCTAAGTGACAAAAACCCATCCGCTGGCTTCCAGGACACGCGAGCTCCCCAAGGAAAACAACGACACTCAAATGGTCCTTCTTCCAGGTCTTCCACGTGGGTCCAGGGTCCCAGAGCCCCTACACTGCTTCCCCAGACACACTGGCAAAGAGTTGGATGGGAAGCAGAACAGCCAGGATGCCAACAAGCATTCTGGTATAAGATGCCAGTACTATCAGTGGTGGTTTCACCCACTGCGCCATCACTCCAGCCCTAGCCAAAAGGCTAGCACGCCCCGTCTGAGCAGACACAGAACAAATGGACATTTTCAATAGCATAGCGTTGCTGTGTGCAAGATACTCAGTTTGCAGAAGCGCAAAAAGACATTTTCTCGGGCAGAACTTTTGCTCCTGAGGACCTGGGGATGAGGGATGCTGAAGGCAAGGACTACATCATGGAGGGAGCCTGGGGGGCCTGGAGCAGTCAGTCCATCCATCGCCATGCAAGGTCAAAACTGGCTGCGAGCTTGCTGGACAGACCACAGCAAAGAAGCATGTCCGGGCCAAAAGACCCAGCACACCAAAAGGCTCAGTCCAAATGGCAAGTGCTGGCAAGGAAGCTGGCACATGAAGGAATCCAGGAGCGTCCTGGGCATTTAGGGCCAGGAATGGCAGTGATGGGTCGGGGAGGGACTGGAAAGGAGCTTGTATGTGCCAGGCCACAAATGTGAGGTTTACATTTGCAGGGAGGTGTGGGGGAGAGCGAGTGTCACACACAGATGCAAGGACTTGGGTCAAGGCGTTTGGAGGAGTACCTGAGCTGTAAACACACAAGCCTTGCTCACAGGTGAAGAAAGCCGAGATTCCAGGAAAGCTCCCAGTTTGGCCAAAACCACACATTTTTGCCCCATCCCTGTGTGTTATAATGGGAATCTCAAGGGAGAGAAAGGATTGGTGAGGGCCTTCCATGGCACCACGGGGTGGTGGGCAGTAGAAGGAAGCATTGGGGCCACTACTGTGGGAGGTAGTTTCCTGCCATCCTCAGCCCCAGGGTAAGGGATCAGCCCCTCCCCGCAGCTGCCCCTAGGGCTATGTGGGTAAAAAGTGCCCAACCAGTGGTGTCATCAGCTCCATTTGCAGCTGTCACCCTGGGGCAACATTGTGCTAAACACTTGATAACATTATTGCTGGATCTTTTCATTATTTTCCCAGGCTCAGAAAGATAAAATGACTATGCCCAAGGTGGTTGGGGGAGGGGGGGCACTTACTGATTTATTTGCAAGTCAGAGTCACACAGAGAGAGGGAGAGACAGAGATCTTCCATCCACTGGGTCAGTCTCTAAATGGTCACTAAGACCAGTGCTGAGCCAGGCCAGAGCCAGGAGCCAAGAGCCCCAAAACGAGTCTCCTACATGGATGCAGGGGCCTAAGCACTTGGGCCACCCTCTGCTGCTTTCCTGGGTGTGTTATCAGGGAGCTGGACTGGAAGTGTAACAGGCAGGACCCTAACTGGCACCTGTATGAGATGCTAGGGTTGCTGCCAGGGGCTTCACCACAACAGTAGTTCAAACCACTCCTTGGTGGAGCCTTAAAGAATGTTAACACGGGGCTCTGCCCTCGAGATGACCCACACCAGCCCTCTTATTTCTCAGAAGTGCAAAGTAATGAATAGAGAAACCACATCTCAAGGTCAGGTGCTCAGCCAGCCCATGTCTGCACAAGGACGTTGGCCCGGGGCTGGCCAGCAGGAAGCCACAGCAGTGGCACCTCTCCATTCTTTCCTTACCCTCTAATTCTTTATAATTTTTGATTAGCATGCCATGCTCATCCATTTTTTAAGAAGGATTTATTATTTGAAAGACAAGAATGACAGTGAGAGAAACAGAGACAGAGATCTTCATTAGCTGGTTCACTCCCCAAATGGCTGCAAGGGCTGAAGCCAGGAACACAAGCTCATCCGGGTCTTCCACATGGGTGCAGAGGCCCAAACACGTGGGCCCTCTTCTGCTGCCTTCCTGGACCCATTAGCAGGGAGCTGGATCGGGAGCAGAGCAGCCGCGACATGAATGGGTACTCCAATATGGGATGCTGGAGACACAAGCAGTGGCTTACCGCTGTGTCCCAGTGCCACAAACCACACTTATACATGTCAGTGGGGTCAGTATAGTATTTCAACAGAGACACAATGTAAACCCACCAAGCTCACCTGCAGGAGCCAACCAGCCGCTGCCTCGCAGTTCTTTCGGCAGGAGATAACCCCACACAGCAATGTGCAGTGGGCTACGTTTGCCCTACAAGCTGGCTTTTCAAAAGGGACACTTCAGTCTAGAAAGTCCCCATCCGTCCCCCAGCTGGTCTCCGTGAGGATGGCGAGACACGCAGGAGCCGCACGGTGGCGCCAAAGGTCCAGTTGGCGGAGTGAAGGGCCTGGCCACTGGCTTCAGGACCCCCAACTTATCCCTCAACCCCCAAGCCCAGCCTCTGGCTCCCAGGCTCCCAGGCTCCCAGCAGATGTAGAGTGGCTCCCAGCAGCAGAGGCAAAGGGGCTGGTGGGATATGCCTCAGTCTCCTTCCACCTTTCCTAGGGTGACCTGCTCGGGGGCCCCAAGAGCACACTGACAGTCCTCCCTTCTGCTCCTGGGAGAAACCCCAGTCTCCCTCTGCACCCAGCTAACTGCATTGCCTTCGAGCACAAGCCAGCCAGGCCCTTGGGAAAGCCTTTCCTGGCTTCCAGGAATTCCCCGTGTTTCCCCTGGGATTTTCCCCAAATGCCCTTGACAGACACAGCGCTGTGGGGCCCAGGGTGGGAGATGGATTGGGGCTGTCCCTGGCATGAATGAAGCAAGGGTCACGGACAGCTGTGGAAGGGCCGCCCATCAGCACATTCAAAGTTAGTATCGTGCTGGACAGATCGCACCGCACATGCGCAGGGGCAGGACTGCCTGGATAAAATCCCCGGCTCTGCCACAGGCGTGACTCTGGGCTGGGACTTGGTACCTGTGCCTCAGCGTCTGTGTCTGAAATGTGGACCAAATGGCCAGCTCGAGGAAAGATCAGATGCAGATCCTGGCAGCTGTGTCTGGGGCTCAGGGAGCCTGCCTCTCGCAGCCACTGCAGGAGGCTCTTTGCCCCAGGAGGCTCTTTGGGTGTCCATTTGATGGACTTGGAGATTGAGATGCAGAGAAGCATGGATGGCAAAGGTCTCCCTGCTTCTAGGGTCCCAAGAGCCAGGGAGTCCCCTTCTGGAATCTCGCTAGGCTCTGGGCTCCTGGACCCCGGGGGTTGCTAAGGGATCCTGGAGGGAATGTGTGTGACGAAGGGCAGAAGTCAGGGTGTGCTTCCTGCTCCATTACTGCTCAGCACTGCCGTGTCAGTACCGAGTGCTCACACACACTTTACAAATATTGTTGCATACCCATCATGTGTCGGCCATTGTCCTAGGTCTCTGGGAACAGTCACTGACTGGGCATGCCTTTGGTCTTCATGAAATTCACGTTGCAAGTGAAGGAGGCCACCTCCTCGAATAACTTAACTGTGACTTGCAAAATCATTGCTGGGATGCCAATTCAAGTCCCAGCTGCTTGGCTTCCAGTCCAGTCTCCTGCTAATGTGCCTGCGAAGGAGCAGAGGATGGCCTGAGTTCTTGGGCCCTGCCTCCCGGGAAGGAGATCCGAAAGGAGTTCCAGGCTCCTGGTTTCTGCATGGCTCAGCCCCAGCTCTTGGGCATATTGAGGAGTGAATGGGCAGATGAAAGCACCCTCTTCTCTCTCTTTCATTCACTCTGTTTTACAAATATCTTAAAATAGACTGCCCTGAGAGGCATGGAGCTAAATGGACTGCCACAAGGTGAGGAAGCCTCTGTTTCTTTTAGCCTCCTCCTGGTGAAAGATAAGGAATATAAACAGGCGAGCTGCGGTCTGGAGAAGGCTTGGGTGACCAGGCGAGTGAGCACTTCTAAGCACTGGGGCCAGCACGCTTGAAACTCTTGCAGGTTGTGTCAAGTCAGGCAGGTGCGTGTGTGTGGATCTTGGGCATGGGGTGTGTGTATTTATGTGTGTATGTGTGCATGTGTCTGTGTGTGTCTGTGTCTTTGTCTGCATGTGTATATGTATATCTGTGTGTGTGTGTCTGTATGTGTCTCTGAGTTTGTGTGTGGTGGCAGCGAGGGGTGCTCTGCAGGAGATTCTAACGGAGTTTCAGGACTAGCGCATCAGGTATTTCCATGTCCATCACATGCAAACAAGGACTTGGTAAATGTCTGGCCTCCACGGAGGAAAAGGTGCTGGCCAAAGGGGTCACAGCCCCTGGGGGACTACCCGACCCTCTGGCAGACAGACTCCCGTCCGGAATGCCTCCTTAGTGCCAAGGGCTGGCCTTGGCTGTGGGCAAGTCAAGGCCACTTCCTAGCAGGGGGTTCCTTGGGGAGTACAATGTGTCTGCAAGGGAGG